GAATCATTAGAAGTAAAGAGTGGGAATTAGGAGGCTAGCCCAAAAGAAGGAGGTTTGGCCAATGGGACAGCAGTGGAGGTGGTGAGAAGAGGTCAGAGCCTGAACATATTTGGAAGAGAGTCAGTTTGGTGATAAAATAGATGTGGGCTGTAAAAAATAGAATTGTCAAGGATGATGTTAAGGTTTGGGGCCTCAGAAGGACAGAGTTGCCATTCACTAAGGCAGCGAATATATGGTTGTAGCAGCTTTGGGCAAGTTACGTTTAGTAAACTCATTAGACATCTGGGAGATGCCAAGGAGGCAGCTTGAGATGCAAATATGGAGTTTAGGAGAGAATTCTGGGCTGAAGATATAAAATTGGGAGTCACTTTTATAAGATCATATTTTAAAGCCAGCTCACTGGAAGAAGAGATCTCAGTGAAGGAGAGCCCTGAGGCACTCTGACATTAAGAGAGGGAAGAGAAAGGAGGAACTAGCAAATAGACAAAGAAGGAACTGTCAGTGAAGAAAGATGGGACCAGGAGTATGTTGTGTCCTTGAGATCTAGTAAAGAAAATCCAAGAGGAAGTGATCAGCATGTCAAATGCTCTCTGTTAGGGAGAAGAAGATGTTTGAGAGTAGACTGTTCCTTGAGCAAGGTGAAAGTCACTGACCGAAGATGGATCACATGCAATGAGCAGTCAGGGGAGTGGTGTGGGCCTAGAGAATTTAATACAGAATGGGAGGAGAGAAACTTTAATACAGCTTCTTCTTTCAACTCTTACTATAAAAGAAATCAGAGAACCGTCAAGAGATTTCTTTTGCTTGAAAAACTGGGAGAAAGAAGAGCATGTTTGTATGCTGAAGGGTTCTGCTCAGTTGAAAAGGAAAATGTGATAATGACAAGAGATGAATGGAGTGCCAAGCAGAAACAACCAACTTAGGCCCTGGCTGGTGTGGCTCAGTGACTGTGCGACGGGTCGCTGGTTCAACTCCCGGTCAGGGCATATGCCTGGTGTGTGGGCTGGGCCCCCAGTGGGGTCATGCAGAAGGCAACGGATCAGTGTTTCTCTTACACATTGGTTCTCTCCTTCTCTTCCTCCCTCCTTCCCCTCTCTCTATATAAAATCTTACACACACACAAAAATACTTAGAAACGCAAGTATCCAGCCACAGTCTTTTACAGTGGATCCTCTATCTTTAGATGAAGAGGTTTATATACATGAGGAAGAAACAACATATTCAAATTTCTTGCTGAGAATTAAGAGCATTTAATGCTACTATGTCTCAAGGGAATGAGGCAAGAAGGAATCAAAATCTTTTATAGATAACAAACAATTTTAGATGACTTATCAAAGATCATGCACTAAGCTCTTCAAAAACAACAATAAATTTTGGAAAACAAGTTATTTGGTTTAGGTACAAAAATCTTTACTTTGAATGTCTAACAACTTCCCAAAACAATATTTTCATTCTTACCTAAATCACATCCTTATGTTCTTATAATGTTTAAAAATCAGGTCTAGTGTCAAACATCAATTTCTATTTTTTTCCCTCAAAATATATAGGGCTCCATCAAGCACTTCCCCCAAAACTTCTTTGGTGGGGTAACAGAGGGAAATCGAATTTCAAAGAAGTTAATTAATTTCAGGAAAATGGAAAGCTTGACTTAAACATTGAAAACCCCCCACACTTGGCAGCCACCATTTAGTATTCCACTCCACCTGTTGTTCCAAATGCTAATGAATGAGTTCCTTCGTAATCAGACAAAGGGAAGAAAACTCGTAACACTTAAAAATGAAGCCTCCCCTATTAGATCAAACAGTGCATTACTAGAGGGCCATTCTCTGAAGAAATAAGTTTAGGAGCCAAGATTTTGAATACACAGTAACCAAATGCCCCTGATTTATTACAGATAACTGCCTAGGCATGGAGACAATGGTTCAAACCTCATTTTTTTCTATGATGACTCTGACGTCTGGGGCAGGTTAAGGACGTAGACCATCTTAGACATACGTGTGGAAATAGAGCACATTTTATTACCCCACGCCCAGGCAAGCCTCATGACGATGATTCTTGTCTGAGAGGTAAGAACTCTGTTTCTTTACAACTTAGTTCTGGAAAACAGAATAAGGTACTGCCAGCCTTAAGCTTTCATTCTGACCTGGTGCTTGTAGCACCCACTGTATGTGGCCATCAACACATTGGTGTTGTTGCCACCTTCTTTCCAGGCTGAAGAAAGTCTTCTAAGAGGATGTGGCTGAACCAGTGCACCCCGCCCCCCATCCATCTGGTCATGAGTGTATGTGACACTCAGGATCACTAGGGGATCTCTGAACCTGACTCAGTAAAACAGAGACTCTGGACTGTCCACAGCTGCAGCAAAAACCATGTAAGAAAAAATGTTTCTTTGGCCTCCCACTTTCTAAAGAAATAATTGTTCCCTGTACTGATTTTCATAACCCTAGAACAAGAGAAATACTACTCTTAAGTTTCTCTTCCTGTTTGGAGATCAATGTGTCTTTAAGATTTGAACCTTTCGTATCATGGTATAAAACCTCCACAACTCAGAGATGCAACACCTGAAGTACAAGTCTGTTAACTGATCCTTTGCCTTAGGAATGTTAGGTATTGCCTTGGAGTTTTTGAAAGACTGATGGCAAGACAAAACTGGCGCCTAGCATAGTGTATATTAGTCTAAGAATGCTGGGATGAATTATAAACTAAATGGCAAGGAAGCATAAAATTCATATCCATGTTAAATATGAACAAGCTAATGTCACACTGGGACAATGACTTCAAGGTGGAAGTTTCTGATCTTACAAACATTTATTTTCCTCCAAATTTACTGTGTTTTTCTGTAATGCTGTAAAAAGTCTTCATTTCCCTTTTCCCAAGTGTTGAGGTTCAAAAGCCATCTCTCAATCATATACTAACCTTCATCTCTTCAATGTCTTGTTTGTATGTTGATTTAGTTTCATGTGTAAGTACTTATTTTAGTTTTCCTCAGGGATTTATACATCAATATATATATTCCTACACAAATATATACAAGTTTTTTATCCTCGTCTTACCACTTGACAATACAACTTTAAGTATGTTTTACACAGCTGTTCCTTGGTCAAGGTCATTTGCAAGAGCAAGTCGGTTTCTGAAGAAATCTTGTTTGGTGGGTGAAGGATCCATTGAGGGATTCTCATTAGTTTTTTCCCTGTATTCTGATCCACTGGACCTAAAATCTCAGCACACAGATAAAGTACAGGTTGATTTGGTTTTAATTGTTTTCAAATATTTTATCTATCCAAATTGTTCTGCATTTGTAAAACAGTTACTTCCTAGCTTTGGAATAATTTTCACTTCCCCTGAATTTCATGACTCGGGACAAATGTAACTAAGATTTACAGCGAAGATGAAGAGAGTATCTTTCTAATGCTTTATGGGGATGATTGTAACAACCGTGTATGTCAGTGTAAGGTATTGTATAATAACACTGTAAGAGGGGAACAAAGCTCAGAAAATTCAAGAAATCCTACTTTTTGATTCAGCCATGTACTATAACTACTCCACAAACTACCAAGGCCCTTAAATTAAAATGGATGAAATTCATCATTCTCAACCAAGGTTACCAAGGGCCATTACTAAACCTGGGCATTACATTACAAACTCTTGCTTTTGCTTGTTTTCATTTTTAAATGAAAGATTTATTGAAGCCAACCACACATATATGCTACATTTAGCAGAATGCAGAAATTAATACAGCAATCAGCTTGAGGAGATTCTGTAATCTCAACCACCACAGAGGAGACCAAGCCCAACCAATAGTCAACAACTCAGATCAGTCCAGTAGGTTCCCCAGTCCAGGGTGCACTCTTCCTTTATCTTGGTTAAGACAGTTGGGCAATCCATTCCAGCTCTGCACCTTCTCCAGTTTGTTCCTGTCAGAAGTCCCTGGAGGGAGGAGGCTTTCTGGAGATAACCTTTGATAAGCTAGTCTGGGGCCCTTCAGCTAGCTTCAACTCTGAGCTAGAACGGGTAAAACTAGCCCAGTGACTAAGAACCAGTATCAAAAGACCTCATGCAGAGTGTATGAACGTGATGTTAGACATGAAGTTCTTTGTCCAAAGCTCCTACACAACTAAACACGTTCTCCACGTGTGGAGGCAGAGTCAGGCATGTTTCCACTATCCACAGAGAAGAAAACGTTTTTTCACTATTATTGGTATGCTACAGGTCCTCATTATTGTTATCAGTTAATTACGACTCTCATTTACTGAACTAATTGGGCAGAGGTCAAACATCCTTTTTATATTTTTAAAGGAAAGAAGTTGGATCCACGCAAAGACTGAAATCCTAATGTCTGGAAATCTGATGACTGACTAGATTTTTTTACTTTTCTCCCTAATATTTGGTATCAGATGAAGCCACAGCTGCCCAGCATGCTTTCTACTTCCAGTGAGTTTTCTGGTCAAAAGGAGCACTTTTCCACTGCATCCCAGTGCATAGAAAAAAACTATTGTGTTTCTCAATCCCAACACATCTGGATACTCATCAGATAAGGTAATATCTGGGTGGAGTGCAAGTCCTCTTCCCTTTTAGAAGCCCCCTTGGAACTCTGCCTTGAAACAGCCTCCACAAGCCCACCCTGACAGACCTCCAGGCCCTCTCTCAATGCTCAGAGTTCCCACCTGCCTCCAGTTCAAATCAGCCCTAATTAGAACAGTTGTACCCAAAATGTTAGGAATATTTATCTTTGACCATTTCCTTCTTTCCTCATATCGCCTGTTTTCCGGAAGGCTAGGAATGCTTGTAGTTTCGGGGGCAGGAAGTAGGAAGAAGACTTGAATCTGGCTGCTGTTTCTTCTGAACCATTCCCCGCCCAGGGCAGTTTCTCAACACAAGATAGTCATTTGTCGAAACTTAAAATCTTTACCTCGCATTTCCCCTCTAAGCTACATCTGATCTCTCCAAAACCCAACACATCACACTTTGATGGTTTCGACATGCAACTATTTAGTGTTTACCTGGAAATGGGAAAGCTTTGCTGTCACCACCAGCCCCAAGGACCACAGAAATCTTCACCAGATGCGTTCCCATTTCTGAAACAAATGCCAAAATCGCCCTGTCTAGTTTTTAAAGTCCACAAACTCAACTTAGTTTTTTTTCTTTTTGAACTGCTCCTCTCATATACAACCTCTGTGTGCCTATAGGTTTGTGAATTCTCTGTGTTTCTTGATATTAACTAACTGTTAATTAACTAATGGCTGACTTGCTAATCCTTTTGGAACTCTAGCATACACTTTAGCCATGACTAAAAGCTCATTTTTATCCTTTTAAAGATCATTGTAACTGACCTCTATAATGCTTACATGGTATATGGCCACTTCAACAGTTGGCCCCTCCCAAAGGTGTGGCTGTTAGGCTCTGAAGTAATGCATACTTGAATTACTGGGAAATCACCTGCAGAATTAGTAGGAAGGGCCAGCGTATTTATTCCCTTTCTCTATAAAACAGGAATGGCTTTTGAGTTCCTGGGGTCATTGTGGTTGACTGCAGGGCAAATCCCAGCAGACACTAAAGAGATGGGCAGGCAGACACTTGCTGGGTGAGGGTACAATCTGCCTGCATTCTGACGCAATACCATCTAAGTGTTTGTTAGAAAGCCCTGTTGCTAACTTTCCTTCCACTCCATTGACAGAGACAAAGTTGGGTAGGTCATACAAGAACACATTTACTACAAATAATCTTTGAAAGCTTGTTTGGAAGTGGAGGAGGGAGGAGGGGTAGAATCCAGTGCACAGAACCCTCTGACCTAAGTAAGGGCTGGTTTTCTGATTGGAAAGATAGTCCACTTTGAAAGCTTTAGGAGACATGCACCTGGAGAAGTAAGCAGGGGAACATTCAGTCTATTGGCCAAAGTATTTGGCCCCTGTGATCAACAAGGTGGTTGACAAATGAACATTCATTTTTACTACATATTTGTTGAGTGATCACTATGTTCTAAACCTTACAGCTAGGTTACCCTTACATCTGGACTGTAAGCTGTTAATGGACTGCCATTATTTCTTTTACTTCTCTTGTGCTAGACAGAACCTAGTACACTATAGACCCTGAACTTAGTGATTGCTATCAAATGACCTATTGAGAAACACTCATAATCTCCGGTTTGAGTAATATAAATGTCATCCTTTCAACCATCTCCTTCAATGTTAAAGTTATATAGGGAAATAAAATGGGAAACGAGAACCCCAAAGTGAGTATGAATGTGGGAAGGACTTGAGATAGGCTTTAAGAAGTAAAGAAGGTGAGGGGAAAATTATCAACTGAGTCTTTAGTAGTCCTGCCTTTTCTTACAAGGTCTGTCCCACAGCCAAGGCTGGGCCTATGCAAAAACAGTTGATAGACACCAGAAGAAGAGGATTCTCTCCTACTCAATTATCCTGGGCCCTGTAGAAGTACTCTGTGTGTATGATTAAGAAAATAGAGAGATTTTGATGTGATTGGTGGAGGGAGGGTAATGACTGAGAAGGAGCTACTCTGAGGTATATAAGTTATTGTATAAAGTGCTAAAGAGGAACGGAATGGGAGAGGAAATAGAATTACTCATTTGGAAACCTTCTTCTTTATCTTACAGTTCTCCCAGATTTGAGGATAAAAAGGAAGAACATTTACATTCCCTGTCCCTGAACTGTCTTACATAATCCTCTTCCCCTATGCCATACCCCCAACCAAGAATATTTATTAACTAAGTGCAAGATTTACGTATAACGATAAAGTAACATTTGCTTCAGACTTCAGGATAGTCTACATTCAAGTCCTTGACAGCCTCCACAGAGATCCTTCCAGAATGGGACAGTTTGCCTCCCATCCTGCTCACAGGCAGCAGGGTTAGGATTCAGTCCAGCATCAGCCTATCACATTAGGTCTATTCCTGGCTTCTAAGAATCCTTATTAAAAAATTTTAAAGTCACTTAACATTTTCAAACTTTAATACATGTAGTCTTTATTCAGATCAATTCTGGGCAGCTTTCAGAGACAAGTGACCTGGTATCTATCAGCCCAGGACAAATGTGCCTGAGATAGAAACAGAGCATCATCTTTTCCCCCAAATATCTTGGGTATTTTTTCAGGATTTTTAAAAAGATTTCAACTTGACTCTCCCTTTTGAATCCTTGTGGGTATGAGCCTTCGGCCCTCCCAGCCTCAGAGGGAAGAGAACCCTTTCCCAGGTTTCCTGTTGCATCTGGCTCCATGCCTAGCTTCATCCCGAAGCAGCATTCTGGGTGTGTGGGGCCACCAGCCAAACAAGCCCCTATGGATACAAAAAGTGTGTCAGTGTAGACAGGAATGAGCCTCCAGAGGGCTGTGGTGTAGGCAGGCAGTGAGCCCCAGATGTGACATGGGTGGCCTCTCTGGCGCTGGTCCATTTTGGACCTCTGAGGCCAGGCTCTGGCATGGTTCCAGTACCCAGGAGTGACCATGTCCTGGTCACAGGGCTTGCTGCCAGCCTGACCTCCCAACAACATGGACAATGAGCTGGATGTCTCTTTCTGGTTCCTCCCTCTACCTGTCCACAGGCCTAACTTCAGAGTCCTCCATAATAGCTCCTACATAGTTTCCACATAGCATCTGGGACCATGTCATTCATGGTTCCTATAGAAGTGTTTCACAGAGTACATGCATACAAGAAAGAATGCTTAATTAATGAGAAGAAGAGTGAGTTATCATCTAAGAGCCACTGACCTTTCTGTGCTACATTGGGGGTTCCTTGCCCTTCCTCTTTGCCTGAGCATAATGAACCAAACTTTCCATGGTTTTTGGAGGGAAATACTCAGAGGAAGCTACTCAAACTGTTTCTTGATCCCATGCCAAGTCCCCAAAAGTGCCCACCATGGTACCCTGGACACAAGGCAATAAGCAAGCATCCCAATAGTGTTCACAGTCCTATACTAGATGTAAAAAAACAGGAAAGCCTGCCGGAGGGAGCAGCCATTCATATAACACCTCAGATTTCAAATACAAAGGTAGGGTGGCAGCAGTATGATTGATGGAGGGGGGGCTGATCTAAGAGATAGGATAAGAAGACTAAGGGCATCCACTGGGCCCTCCAAGAAGGGTCCCAAAAAGCTGCAAGAGTTCTAGAAGCAATTAACCAACATCAGTTTGGAGAGTCCACACAGTGAGTCTTCAGCATTGTGCCAAGGGATGTGCAGGGCTGTAGAAAGATAAAATCTGCTCTTCCACAGGCTGAGTCTTTGACATTATAGGTCCCAAGGCCACATTGTTTCAGATGTTATAAGATGTGATTACTTAGATTGATCTACAACAAAGTCGAACTACAGATAAGATAAATCTCAGCACTAGAAAGGACTCAGGTGAATAACTCTGGCAATGTCTCAACCAGTGCAGGAATCCCTGTCATAGCATCTCTGACTAGGGTCATGCAGCTTCTACTAAAGAAAACCCACTCCTTCATGAGGCAGCCAGCTCCAGTTCTTGGCAGTTGCATTTTTAGAAAGCTCTTCCTCTCACTCGTTGCTACTAGTTCTGCCCCCAGGACACAGAGAGGGCAAGTCCATTCCCTCTGCCTCAGGTAACTGGCAGAGCATTTTCTTACATCTCTCTGAAAAATGGGAATTTGTAAAGAAACCAGAGGTGGATCCAGGACTCACTATTTTCCAAGAGACAGTACACAGCCATTGTAAATGGCAATAGGCAAAAAGTGACTGTGTATTTCAGAAATACTGTGGTTAAAAAAAAAAAATGGCTTAAGCAGTGTCCTTAGGAATTTGGACTCCTCGGAGGGATTTAGGAACCTAAATCTCAAGGTCAAGCTGGAGAGCTGTCTGCTTCTGGGTCTCCACCTACGCCAAACTTGGCGGAGGTAGGCACTGAGCCAGGAAAGATCTAAATATATGACCCTAGAGAGAGCTACATTTCTTAACTCCCCACCCTAAATAAAGGGGATCTAGCAAAAGCCATACATGCATGCATGGGGCTGCCTTAGCAAAACTGAAAGGGGACTTCATAGAATAAGGCTCTTTCTGATTGCAGTAATGTTTTTGTTCTTTCCTGTTTCTCCTCCTTCTAGTAACAACAAGCAGTAACCAACAATCAGAGACCCACTAATGTCAGTACCACCCTCCCTATGAGAAAATTAGACAAAGGATCAAAAATGTCCTCACTCCAGGCCTGCCCCTAATTCTTCCATCAAGACCATTATCCAAATCAGCCAGGAATCCCTACCTTCAAGAAGAGTGTGATTTCTCTGTGCTTCCTCACATATTCAAAACTTTCCAAAGGTAGCAATAGTGTGTTTGTTTAAATTTTCCACCCACTAAAATATGAAGACTTACTGTTTAAAACTGACTGCAAGAACCTCCTCTACCAAGAGAAACTAAGCACCAGTGGAGATAAAGACTGCAGTTTCTCAGGTGGGCAACAGCTGGACTGGAGAATCACTCTACGGTCCAATGCTAATGTTCAGTTCTCTGTCCCTTACATTTTGTGCTGGGGTAAGATGGTGCTGGTAAATGCTGGCCGAAATGCCTGGCGGGTGATTTCATACAACAAGGACTTAGAATCTTAGAAGGACCACAGAAGAGAAATGGCCTGTTTTTGCCTCCTCTGGAGTGTGGAAACTCCATTAAAGTGATTTTTTAACTAGGACACAAGCCAAGTCCATTCAATTATCTCTGCCAGGGAAGACACTGTAAATCCCAATAAACAGCTACTAACCCCCAAGACAACTATAGGCCTCTGTAGGCAGAACTGCTGAGATGCCTTAGAAAACCTTCCATTATGCCTAACTCCCATTAGTGGACCCCACTCTTCCCACTCTAAAAGGAATTTTTCATTGTCACCAGCTCATTCCCCAGGAGACCTCCTCTGCTCACTCTGCTCAGAACACATGACTTTGGGCACTAGGAAGTAGGGCTAAAGACAAAAGAGGCAGAGGACAGAGCTGAGTTTGCTTTTACTCTAGATTACAATGAGAAACATCTTCGCCTGGCAAGAATCGTGGCTACTGGGTGCAGGCACTGAGCTTCAAGCAGTTGTGTGGAAACCAGGCTACTTGATACTTAGTACTATTAAAACCTCAAGACAGCCCAAAGGGAAAGGAGTTACAACGGTGTCTTGTCTAAGAGCTACTCACTTCTTTTTAAAGAGCTTGCGGAAGGAGCTGCGAAAGCCCCCTTTCTGGTCTTGCCTGGGGTTTTGATCGCTGAAAGATGTTTGTTCACTTTCTCTTTCTTCCTTTGGACAGAATCTGGTGGTGTCTTCTAAATGCATCTCCTGAAAACACACAAAAAAAGGGATGATTTTTCCCCCACTCTTTTCCAAAGTTAGTATCTATCCTGACTGTGGGACACTTTTTCCTTAGCTCTGTCACTTTCCTCTTCTAGCCCCAAAGACTAATGGTGGGTACCCTATACCAACTAAAGCAAACCTAGACTAATTAAGAAATTAGTAGTTGAAAAGAATATAATTTTCTGCTGAGTGTAGAAATATTTTCTCTGTATCAAGGCAAAGAGTCTAGAGTCTATATCATAATCCTATAATAACGATAGTTAAAGATCAGGAGATAAAGGAAATTGACAAATGTTAAGAGTACAGAGATTAACTTTTTATTCTGGCACGAATAATATCTTGTTGGAAAATCAGTTATAGTTCTCTCATATCTCTGGGTATGTTTCTCTTTCTACAAAACAAGGAAGTTCCTTGATTGTAATACTAGTTTTAAACTAATGTTCCTAACTCTTCAGTTTAGACATAAATGAGAATGGAAGTTTTGAGAGGTCAGATCTGTTTGGAAGTAAATGTCAACTAACATTTCCAACCTGTTGATATGCCTTTAATACAGTTTGTATAAGTCTGAGTCCATGGCATTTAGAGTGTAAAGTAAAAATAAGGCTCTATCTTTTGTGAACTCTAATTTCTTTTAAAATGTGAGATGTGCTAGATAAAATAGGTGTGCATATATATTTATATTCTATATGAACAAAATATTTCTTTTGAGGTGACTGAAATTTAAAGGAACTAAAAAATAGATGCTTAATTTTGAACCCAAGAAGTCAAAACAAAAAACCACCCTGAAAGTTTCATGAATTGGATGGATGACTGCTTGCTGATAGAAAAGCAAAGGTTGGGGGTGAATTTTTTTCAAGAAACATATGGGTTTGACTTTGAGAACTTAGCTTGGGGTTGTAGTAACAGATCTAGAGATTCTTTAATATTCTACTAAGGTTCATTAACTAAACCATGGAGACTAACATCTTGATGGCTTAGTGTGGTGTTTCTCAAAGTGTGGTCCTGGAGCTACAGGATCAACTGGGGCCTTTATTTAAAATATAGATCCCTGATCCCCGACCCAGAATTTCTGAACCAGAATCTCTGGACTTGCGCACATAAATTTTGAAAACCAGTGGTTAAAGGTATACTCCTGTCCAACTGCACCTAATGTTTATATGAATCATCTAGGAATCTTGCTAAAATGCAGATTCTGATTCAGTGGTTCTGGGGTGGGGCCAAAATTCTGCAATTATAACAAGCTCCCAGGTAATGCATTCATTACTAGCCCAAGAAGCATATTTCGAGAAGTAGGTTTTTGGGGACTGTTTAGAACGAAATCTATTAATAGTTTAAGGAAAACCTTTCTGTGGAATCATGGTCTTGATAATATCTTGCACTTGTTTGTATAGAATTCCATACTTTGCAAAGTATATTCACAAACTTTCTCTTATTTCGCCTGGTCCTCACAACCCCGTGTGGTAGGAAAGGTATATATTGTCTTATTTTTACAGATGAGAAAACTGGAAGCACAGAGGAGCCAAGTGAATTGTCCACAAGCATACAACTGTTTGGCAGCAGAACTAGGACTAGAACCCAGATATCCTGCTACCTAGTCAGGGACTCTTGGCAATAAAGCATACTGGCTTCTTTCTTAGAGCACTAAAGACCAGGGTCTGACCTCTTTGATTGTCCCAAGACCTTCAGACCACAAGGTTAGACATCAAAATACTAGACACTGACATGGAGGCCAAAGAAAGTGATTGTGAATCAATGCTTTCTTGACTATTTTGTGTCGTCCCTGTCCCACTGGAGTTTGCAAAGTCACGTGACACCCCTTTCCAGTGAAAAGGAAAGCAATAGGAAATATATTTAGCTTTGCAATGAACTTTGCGGGGAAGCCACAGTGAAACAGGGCAACTTGCGTCTTCCCTAACTACACACAAGGTTGGTGCGGACCAAGGAGTAGACTAAGCTGGCAGTGTTCAGTATTTTGAACATTTAAACACGGCAGTGTGCCTAAAAGGCAGAGAAAGGAACAGACAGTCCTGGGACTTGCCTGCAGTGATTTGAAAGTGAAGTGCAACCCTGAGGTGCTACAGCTTGAGCAGGAAGCCAGAAGAGACCCTAACTGCTTCACTGGGCGTGGGGATGATGGTATAAGCTGCTGTAAGTCTCGTCGATGTCTGTTTTATCTCTTTGCCGTCAGACGCACGTATACACGTATGGCGTGCTCTTATGTCTTGGTATGAACTGCAGAATGGTCTCTAACTCTCGCCTTCGCGGGCAACTAAGGTTCATACAAGCCTTTACCCTGGCATTCGCCTCAACAGGACGGTGGGCCTAGTTGGGCCTGGCCCCCAATCCCCATCTGGCAGGGAACCCTGAATGCTAGGTGAGCCCAGGCTGCCCCCTGGCTATCTAGGTCCGGGACTGCAAGCGCTGTGGGTCGGGGTTCGGTTTTACTTTACCCTCCTTACTTCCAAATAGGTCTGTTTTTCGCTTTGGGACCTCTGTTGGGGGAAATAGGCCCTGGGCACACCGCGAGCCGTGGCGACAGCGGCCGGGCCGTGCGGCTGCGCGGCACGCTCGGCTTTGAGCGGCGCGCGGCCGCCGCTGCTGCTGCGCGTGCTGTAGAGGCGCGGGGCCACGCCCTCGGGGGGCGGTGCGCGCGGGAACTCCTTGAGCGAGCGGCTCAGCGGCTTGGCCTTGCCGTGCGCCTGCGTAGCCGCCTCGAGCTTGTAGGCGCCGCTGCTGCTCGCGGGCGACGTGGCGCTCTTGGGCAGCTGTTGTAGCGGGTGCTCTGGCCGCTCGGCCTCCATAGCGAAGCTGACAGGGCGGAGGAAGCATATGTCCAAGCTGGACTCGGAAGAGGCGGGCGAGCAGTTCTCGAAGAGGGCCGGGGCCTGGAAAGGCTCCTCGTCGTAGGGCGCGGGCAGCGCGAAGATCTCGCCGCCATATTCAAACTCCTCGTAAGCCGAGGGCACGAAGCTGCGGCCGTCGGACAGGAGCTCGGCCGGGGCGCGCAAGGAGCGCTCCACGTTGCCCAACGAGGGCTCGGCCGGCGAGGGCTCATAGTCCATCTCCGGGATGGCCTGCAAGGGCCCGGCGAGCGCCTTCACGTCCTGCTCGGCGGCACAAAACTGCGAGGGCGCCAGGAGGTTCTCGGGCCTCTCGTGCTTCCTGCTCTCCATCTCCCAGTCACTGGGCTTCCCCGGCTGCATACTCTCCATCAAGCTTTGCTGTTGTTGGCTTTTCTTCATTGGGGGCAGCAAATGTCTTTAAAGGGGAAACAATACAAGAGAGGAGTGCTTACGGTGTGTTAGTTCAGGCCACTCACCAAGCAGCTGAGGCCAGGAGCAGCACCCTTCCTGCCTGATGCTGCCGAGGCGCAAAAGTGCCAGGTCTCTCTGCCCCTCCCAGGCACCTACATGTGTTACCTACCGAGCTCCACACGCCTCTCTGATTAAGGAGTTCCCACGAGCCCTGGTCCCCCAAGTAGGAGAATGACAATGGATGTCTGTAAAGGGGATGCCTGAGGTATCCGTCTGAGCCAGGAGGCACTGCGTCGAGATGGCCAGTGGGCCACTCCCCGCCATGTATCAGGGCTCCAAGGTAACTCTTCTCTTTCCCCTCTAGCCCTAGTAGTGTCATACAAAATAGTGGAAACAACTTTTGTGTTTGACTCATGGGTCTTAACACGTAAGAACAAATTCTTAAGTAAAATAAATATGGTAGGATGTTGATAACTGAACCTGGATGATGGTATATGGGATTCACTCTAAACTTTACTTTTATGTATATTTGAAAATTTTTTTTGTAATAAAAAGGTGAAACAAATTCCCTGTGGCTATAAATCATGCTATATAAGTTGTCTCAAACTTCCACAAAAACTACCAAAATGAAAAGGCTCTCACTCTAAATAGGCCCAATTTCATGGGGGTTTTTTTTCCCCTCACGGATAACAATTTACGTAGGATACTAGGATGGCATACCCATCAAAAGGATGTGATTTGCCTGTTCTGCTGGAATTTAATTGCCAGACAGATGTGAGCGGGTTACTATACACTGACCCAATCTGGTTATTCCGCTAGTTTATTTGTTCATATTTAATTTTACCTTCGAATATGCATAAAGAATACACATGGGCAGTGCTAACATTGAATATCTTTCTCCCGTAATCTTAAGATGAAACTTGGCTCTTACTCTTAACAGAGGTGGAATGAAATAGTAAAATGGAATATTGACCTGACTTGAATTCTCTTTTAACTTGGATTTTGTTTCTGACTATTTTCCCAACAGAGTGTGACGGCAGCCATCTTGTTCAGTCTGAGTATAATCCCTAGGGATTTCATTTTTTGGCTCTATTTGTTGCACTTCAAAAACAATAATTTTATCATTGTTTTAAGAGCTGAAATGGTCCACAAAGTAAATATACAATTCCTGCCTATCTTTCTTCCACTCTCCACCTAGGAAAGGATATTTTTTCTGTGTTGAGTTCTCTCCCTGCAGGACTTCTAGGATTTTCTCTATAGAAAGCGTCCTTGGCTGTGCTTTTAGAAAGGTTAATGTCTCATGGTTTTCAGAATGATTGTGGAATTTCTCCTTCCTGCCGCTCCTCATTTCCACTCCAATCTCTCACTGATAAATGTTCTCAGTTTTAAGAGATAAGAGCAAATGGAGGAAATGAGATTTATTTTGCATTAGTGACCAGTTGCTCCTTCCAATGATTGTAATTGGTATTTTAAAGACTGCAGTAATTAAAAATTGAAATAATCTCAATGGCTTACCTCTGACTAACTTCATTATAATTTTAGGAAAGTATAGTAGCTTCTTGTATGACTAGTACATTTTGCTTAAGAATAAAACCCAAAGGTGAAATTATAGTATAAGAAATTACTTTTGTGAGAATTGTCTATATTTAGTAAAGTAGGGATTTGGAGTTTTGAGTTTTGGTTTCCCTTATTCTTCCAGAACCCCTAGTTCCAAAAGTAGCCAAGCTGCCTTTATCCTTCAGAGGTAAAGTGAGTTCCAGATAAATAAATGGTCTAATCATTACTCTAAATATCATCAAGAGGTTTGCTGAAAGAGAATTCAGCCTAGTGTGTTAGAGGGTTGTATGCAGAGACTTTAAAAGGCTATCAAATCCATCCACTGCCCAGAACAGCTTTCAGAGAAGCTATGGTAAGTGAAGAACAGAGCTTATGCAGTCCCTTTCTGAGAAAGCTTCTAGGAGAATTGGAAAGGGCTAAACAGCATTCGTTCTGGATCACCTCAGACCTGTTTTCTATCCTCAGAGCCCAGACTTTTCACTGACCCCTGAATGAGATTCTCTTTCCCTCCACTATATGTTTTGGAGAACTTAGGCGGGTTCCCTTTCAAGGGGTTGCAAAATGCCTTCCTGTCTTCTTATGATACTCTCTTCTACTCTACCATTGTTCAAACCCAAAGAGACTCATGCCATAGATAGAGGGTGGTTATGTGCAGTTACCAAATTGTTGGGAGTGACCTTCAGCCTCTACGCCTGCCCTTCCAACAGGGGTGTCCAACCTTTTGGCATCTCTAGGTCACACTGGAAGAAAAAGAGTTGTCTTGGGCCACGCATTAAATACACAAACACTAACAAAAACTGATGAGCCAAAAAAAGGGTTTAAGTAAATTGATGATTTTGTGTTGGGCCACATTCATAGCCATCCTGGGCCTCATGTGGCCCATGGACCACACGTTGGACACCCCTGCTGGGGTATAACATTGGGTCACCTGCTTTCCTGTCACACAGAAGCCTGATGGAATAAGAGGGATGGAGGAGTTGTGTTGGTCATACTCCCAATCCAGGCTGGCCTACTACCTCACACAGACTGTCTGGGACCCAAAGGCATTGCCATTAGCCTTTCCATAGCAACAGGTGCTTACGTGACGGGAGGGCCAGAACTTGGAGCAGAAGGGTAGGGTTGCAACATCTCTTCCGAATGGATCCCACTGTCACGGACAGCTTCAGAGCCTGCAGTGGGGGAAGCATCTTGCCCGGCATTTGCACACTGGGAAGCCAGCCCTTTGTACAGTTTTGCCATGGATGACCTAACAGAATGGAAATAATAATGTTCAGAGTGTGCAGTGGGAAACTGGCTCTTTAAATGCACGGATTATACCAAGAAAAACAGGGAGACAGCGTTTCTCAGATGAAGCTCAGCTATGAAGTTTGTTCTCTCTCTCTCTCTCTCTCTCTCTCTCTTGCTCTCGCTCTCCAGGGCCCTCTACATACCAGGTTGCTTATATAATAGGTGTGCGAACTGGATGTTGACAGGAGTAGAGATGCTGATAAATTGGCTGAATTGAGTTTGGGGGAAAGAGGTGGTATGGGGAGATGTCCCCCATTAGAGGAGCCCTGGCTTGGGAGATAACACTTTTTTCTTGTCTAAAGCACCTACAGAAATGACTCTTATTAGGATGTGATGAGGTTGAAAGAAATCCAGGTCATTAGGAAGCGCTGCTATTGGTTTCTTCTATTTTCTCTGAAGCCCAGATCCTCCTTCATAAGCCCTTCCTGTTTCTTAGCATGAAATCTCTTCAACCACCCTCCTCTCCCTTATTTGTTTTATTTTTATCCATAGCACTTATCAGCATCTATTGGTTCCCCACATCTAGAATGTAAGCTCCAAGTGGCAAATATTTTTGTCTGTATTTTTTATTGCAGTATATTCAGTGCATAGAAATAGTACCTGATACACACAAATAGGTGCTCAATAACTATTTGTTGAGTTAAAAGAAACCACACTCTGGCCTTTAAACTGTATTTTTAAATCTGGTGAGTTTAGGGAAACTATTTTTATGGTGGTCAACATGAGATATGAGAGGGTCTGGATAAGCATTAAGGTGAAAGTGCTTATTTTTTTTAAGTAATTTCCACCAGGTAGTAGGTGCTTCCCCTCTTGTAGCCAATTTGGCCACCTCTCTTCCTTCCCCTTCTCTTCTTACTGTCATTGCATTTTAGCCACTTAACATATAATGTGATTGCTTGTTACACACACCCACATTGTCTGTGTCCTGTTCTCAGAAGCCTCTGATCAACCCTCTAGACTGCAATCAGAACCTTACTTCTTGAGCTTTTTCCGTTTCTGAATAAGCAAATCCTCATTGCATTGAAACAGCAGGGTGTAGTGTGAGATAAATACTCGAAGACGCTGAACACACACCAGAAGTAGGTAATAGTCAGGGTGTTCCTGCTCTGTGAACTTCAGGACATTCTGGATGAAGGAAAAAAGGAAGCAGTATTGCATAATTAGAATGAAAAGTTGTTTTATCTCTTCTGCACCTTGCCTTGATTTGTTGTGAGAATTTGGTAACTATTTAATCAAAACAATACATACGACCAATCTAATTATAAGCCGAAGAGTTAAACTTGCTGTATTCTTTGTCCATCACACGAAGAGAAAATAAAAGTCACTATTGCTCCTATTTGAGTTAGATGTGAACATAAGATAATTCCATCTGAAAAGTTGTAAGTATCTATTAATTAGATCTCTGAGGTAATGGAGCCATTTTAACAATTACTGTTGATAAGCAATACTTGTATAACCCATAGGAGTCAGACCAATGGCAAAAATACCAGGCATCAAGGCACTCTGGAAGAGGCGGGGTATATGACCAATCCTGGCCTAGTGGTCCCTTCTGTTACATTGACTACTGAGCTCTAGTGGAACATGCATGCAAGTTGGATTTGGGAAAGCGAACACTTAATGAGTACTTCCCATTGCCAGCACTAAGTCATTTACATATATTTTCTCATTTAATTTTTACCATAACCTCATTAGATAGGTACCATTCTTACCTTCACTTAACAAGGAAATCAATGTATACAGCAAAGTTAACTAATCTTCATTAGGTCACACATGTAGTTAGTTAGCACAACCAGCATCTGAACTCAAGTCAGCCAATAGAACCAGGACTCTTATTTACCATGCTGTTTGTAAGACCTGCGTTTCAGTCCTAAATTTTTTCACCTATTAGGCGTGTTAACTTAGGGAAGTTACTTAACTTCTTTGCCTCTCCATTTCCTTATCTTTTAAAAAAGTGGTAATGATACCTATCTATTTCATGGGATTGTTGGAAGGATTAAATAAAATAATTATTGTGAGAAAAGTATTTTAATATCTAAAGCCATACAATTGAAAATCTTTTTGATATCAATACTGGGCTACTTCCACCTGTGATAAATCCCAAGCATTTCTAAGATGCTTTCATTGAATTACTTAGAGAGGTCAGTAAGCAAATAAACCGGGACAGGTGGGTGGTGGGAAGAAGAGGGGCTGGTAAGGGTGTTGGTGAGCCTCTCTCTCAACTCTACTTCCTCCAAGGTGGATAAGACCTGTGGGAAAATGATGTGGAGAAGTCAGCTTGTCAGTTTCTTCATGCTTCTTCTGTGACATAAAATAAGAAGCAATATTTGGTAAACCCATGCACTCAAGCCAAATGAAAGTAGTCAGGGTAGCAGTTAAGTGGGCAGGTTACATAGATAGTTCTTAGATTCCAGAGTGGGGGGTGGGGAGTGAGGGTTAGGGGATACATGGCTGTAGAACAAAGGTGGAAGGGACTGAATAGGTAGAGTCTAGTAGGAGCTGCTATAGAAAGATTCTGCATCAGCAGAGGTGGTGATTGTCAGTAAATGAAGACAGAACATCAAAGGCAGGCATCATGAGCCAAACATTTTAAGAGACTGAGATTTTAGCTTATACCACAAGGTGGGGTAGGGAAGTCATTAACACTCTTAAGTTATTTAAATATATTTTAGAAATATTAATTATTAATTATTAATTATTAAATATTAATTATTCCTTCCTGATCCCTCACAGTGTTTCTTGGAAGCCAAAAACAATAGTTTAGCCTGAAAATCACTTTGGAGGCTTGCCCAGCCATGCCTACCTGCAGATGTATCAGATATTCAGGGATGCGCTGGACTATGTGAAAGAACAGTGTATAGATGTCAGATTTAATCTCTTCATCACCCTGAATGAAAGAAAGGTAGAATCACTCTTCATTGTCCCTCCAGTTCTGGCTTCAGAACCCCAGTGCCAGTCCCATCAGAGTAGAAAAAGTTGACTCTCAGAGCATTTTCTTCCTCCAGAGTGCCATGAAGCATTGATCTCTCGTTGGACAGGCCACTTGTTCAAGGACATGCTCAAGGAGACAGTTCTTTAGCAGAGGGCATATCATGTACTTCCTTTGAATCTACCCAACTTTTCAAATTGCCCCTTCCATCCTCAACCCCAGATATCAGCACAGTTCTATACAGAAGTGGGCACTCAGTTAATTATATTTAAGCTGAATGAAGTCATTAAGATTCTCCAGCAAGTAATCATTACAATGGTTTACTAGTAGGCACTGAGGGTGGTTTGAGCCTGATGAGAATGGGTGAAAGAATATGATTAGAAACTGCCCAGCTGGCCTGGCAGCAGGAGACAAGTTGGACTTTTTCCATGTCCCTTTCCTTTCCTTCCCTTTGCTTTCCTTCCCTTTCCTTTTCTTCTCTTCCCTTCCCCTTTCCCAAATATTTTCTGAGTACTAATGTGTGGTAGGCATTATACTGAGTTGGGAGTAGTAGGGTAATGTAGAAAATTAGTAAGATCCTCACCTCTTGTGAAACTTGATTAACTCTTAACTTTAGGGCTTCTGATATGGTTTCTTCCTATTAAACTAAAATAACTAGAATTGTTTTACATTTATATGTGCTTGTTGCACACCTAATACAGCAGTGCACAAGCAATTCTTAAATCTACATGACTAGAATCACTTTACAATCTTAAAAAATGACATATAGGATGACTTGAGTTTAATAGTCAGATTATATAAGTTTAATATTCAGATTCATATTTCTGAGCCAAAAAAAATTCCTCATACAACATACAGGCTACAGCCTGAAGATCTCTGCTTAGAAAATCTGTTTACTTTGCCTAACTTCCAGTGGAGTGGAACTGATGGTCAGTAAGGCAAAGCAGGGACAAAGCAATGGCACTCATCCTCGAGTGAGCTTCTTTAACACCAGGGAGGAGTATCAGTGGCTCTGCTCAAGCCATTTCCCAACCTGGAAGACAAGCTCAGAGTGCATGTGCTGTATGTCCTAAGGGGGCGAGCAACATCATATGATACGCAGGTAACCAAAGGGTAATGTGCAGATAGAGTGAACTTACCTCCTTCAGAACAACGACGTGAACCAAAGAGATGCATTCAGGCAGGTCCCTCAGGTAGGCAACATAATAATCCAAGAAATTATTCTTGAAAACAAACATAAAAATGCATGATAAGAACCTGGAAACAGGAATGATAGTAGCCAATATTTTTTTATAGTCATATATATCAAAAAGAAGTACTTTGCAGAGATTATCTTAATCATGCATTTAATGTGTTCATTAATGTGTTCTTGTTTTTTATTCATCTTTTTGAAAAAACTTTTGGGTTTTAAGGTAGATATCCCTATGGACTTGGGAAAAAGTGAAATGATAAACTAAGGCAGAGGAGAGGAATTATGTAAACTGAAAAAGTATTTTTAAATTGTTTAATGATAAAAATGCATATTTTGTTTTAAAATTACTTTTCATTTTAATCACCTACATCCAAATGAGGGATTTTGTTCAACCCACTTCACAGTGTCTCGACCAATGGTTCTCAACTTTTTCCACCAATCACATGTTCACCTATGTAATATGTCTTTGGGAAAATAATCCTCAGCTTCCAAAGTTATATTTACACAGAAATAACAGATCTTAACCCAAGAAAGCACACTGAATACAAATGAGTAAAGCAATATGAGCAGGGTAACATTACATCTACTCTAATCTGTACAACTAGGTAATTTGTAAACTTTGTATTATTATCCACAGTTGAGAATCTTTGATATACAGAGGTTGAATGCAGGCAAAATCTGGCTTGCAGACCAATTTTAATTATCCCACACTATATATATATATATTTTTTTTTTAAATTTTATTTATTTTTAGAGAGGGAAGGGAGGGAGAGAGAGAAACATCGATGTGCGGTTGCTGGGGGCCATGGCCTGCAACCCAGGCATGTACCCTGACTGGGAATCGAACCTGTGACACTTTGGTTCACAGCCCGTGCTCAATCCACTGAGCTATGCCAGCCAGGGCCACACAATATATTTTTAAATCTTTTTTTATTGTTTTAATCATTGTTCAAGTACAGTTTTCTCCCTTTTACTCCCATTCCAGCCCACCCACCCATCCCTCCCCACTTCCCTCCCATTACCACTCTCCCCCTAGTTTTTGTCCATGTGTCCTTTAAATTTGTTCCTGTAAACCCACACAATATTTTTAAGATAAGAAAATCTCGTACAAAATTCTGGATTTCCAGCTGCCCTTTAAATATCAGATCCTGCAACGCTAGTCTTTCTTCCTGCATAAAAACTGGATAAAGCCAAGTAGTCATTCCTTATAGAAAAGCACGTCAGCTCCACTTAAACTCGTTTCTCAACATTCCCTCTTGTGTTAAATTCCACCTACTTCTACTCGTTCATATCACTGTCTGACTCTGGAGGCATTTGAGTTTGCAACTTCTGGCCTGGATCTTATTTAATTTGTAGAACCACAGAGGTTTTGAAACTTAGGACCCCGTCCAAGGCAGTGAAAACAAAAATATTCAAGACAAATAGCTACCCATCATTTCAAAAAATCTCTAAGGAATGAAATTGTAAGTGAAAGTACATACATATATGCAAACTTTCATATATTTATTTTATGTGTATGTATGAATATATGCATGCATTTATTTATGTATAAATATACACAAATACACACACATATATGTGCATGTTCAATTTCAGCAGTTATGGTATAGTGGAAAATAATGAACTGAAAGTTAGAAAACTCAGGTTCCACTGACAGATCTACAATTATCTAGCTAGCTGGGTGATTCAGCGAAGTCGAAATTTCCCTGAACTTTATATTATGTGTAGAATGAGGAAGTTAGACTAGATCTCGGCAGTTCTTCTAGCTCAGAAATTTACTGATTCCAGATTCTCTATTAAGAGAAGTGGACAAGAGGGACACAGATGAATATAATTCAAATTTATAAAGAATCATTTAAAAACTTACCTCATCATTTGTTAATTTAAGGAATAAATCTCCAAGGACTCCTTGGCGTGGCCACTTCAGGACCCTTTCCTGCAGAGCATGAAGCAAATCCAAGTGCTGCTGGACAAGGTACCGTAAAGAGCCAGGAAAGAGGCTTGAAACAGAACAGAGAAAGAATCACCCAAACCAGGCATAGAAAAGAAAAGCCCCTACAAGAAAATATACAGCAGAGTCCATTTTCCTAGTTATTCAGAATGTTCTGAGTCACAGACCTGCATTTGGGATTAAAAAATAAAAGTTTGTCATTGTAGACCAAATAGCAGATATCCTCAGGATATAAAAAGACCCCTTTACTGATGACTCCTATAATGCTGTGTGTTGACATAATAAAGAGCACCTTACTTGACTGGCTTTTTTAAAGCCAAACCAGTCCACTGTCATTTATGTGACAGTGGAAATTCTAAAGGAAATCTTTTTCAGTGTTTTACAGTTATTCTCACTTGATGTGCAAAATAGTCTCATTATTGTTGCAGATGACAGCACAAGGTGTCACTTGGTCATTCTCAGCTACTGGGTAGGAGACTACAACTTACATAAATAGGAAATTTTATTTAAAGCTGGCAACTAAAAGCACATGGGAAAGGGGTATGGAAGTGTTTTTTTTTTTTTTCTCTGTCCTTTGATTTCTAAGAATACTGGGCAAGGACAGAGTCTTGAATGGGAGGCTACAGATCAATCCTGGCCAGCTACTCCCTGGAGTTTCACAGAGTCCCCTTCTACTCTCATAGTCCCTCTAACCCATCTCAGTGAGCCTCGTTTTTTTCCAGAGGAAATGCAGGGAGGAGGAGTGATGTCAGAGAAGGAGAGGAGAGAGAAAAGAATCATGGAAGGAAGAAGAAGGGGGATTACATGGGGAATGGTGGGGTGATCGGGGACCTATAGGAACGAGGAAGGAAGAAACAGAAGGAAATGAAGTTTTGCTGGGCTATAAGCAAGGAGTTGATGTCTAACTTGGTGATTTAGAGGAATATAAAATAGGTTCCTTCTGCGTTCAAGATCTCAAGTTTAATAAAGGTGAAAGTGATGGCCTGCTTGTCACAGAGTTTGGCTATTTCCCTAGGATCCAGTGAGAGCAAACCAGTGGACAACTAATTAGTGGATGCTTTGCCAACCCTGGACAAGCAGACTTTTTTTTGAGAACACTAGGAAGGACACCAATTCGAGAGAAAAAATTTTCAACCCATTTCCAACTAAAGCAAAGATGCCCCTGTGACTATAGCTCAGAGAAAACCCACAACACCAGAATAGGGCACCCAGCTGCCTCCTGTGATACAAGGATTCCTTCCACTTTTGTCTGCTGCCCCTCCACCTCCTGTGCCACTGGCCTCCAAACATGTGAGGCCAGCTGATCCAGAAGCATGGGAGCAGAGGCCTCCTGGTCCAAGCTCTCATGGCTGATGCAGTGGACTTGGAAGACCTAAGTAATTCCTGTCCAGATCAGAGAGAATTTGGAGGGATAGCCAGGGGACAATTGGATTGGGAGATCATAAAGTTGATGGAGGAAAGCACAATTGATTGAACTGAAAGAAAAACTGCACCAGCAAAAGAACTAGATATGAAAGATTTTTTCCCACCAGGAGGCTATCAATGACTTTGGGTAATATTCTTGGTGTGACACTGAAAGGTGTTAGGGCACCATGGTGAGATCTGACTATGAGAGGGGCCTTCTATATAGGTTATGTAGTATGTCTTGGACTGGATTATCTTTTTTCTTCTTTTCTCCTTTCCTTTCCTCTCCTGGCCTTGCCTGACTTTCTTCTCTTTTACTTCACCCCTGTCTCTTCTCGCCCTTGTCTCTTCTCTCTTATTCTCTCCCCTCCTTCTTTCCCTCCCTTCCTCCCTTCTTTTCTTTTGAGGACACTGTCTTCTGCTATACTGTGCCCAATGTACTTGTAGAGTTGGAGAGCTAGTAACTTGGTTGGAGTCCAGGATACCTCCTGGATTGTCCCCGGGATAAGTTTGAGATTTCAGATGGGTCAGAGAAGGCTAATGCTCCCCTCAAATGTCATGGAAATACATAAGTTACATGAAGGGCAATGAACTACCAAATATTGAAAACAGGTTTTTAAAAGTTTTTTAATTTAATAAGGATAGTATCTGAAATCAGGGAGGATTGTGGAGGAGGTGAGCCAGGAGATGGAGAGCAGAGGAAGAAAGAAGGCAAGAAGTATAGACATACTTAACCTATTTCACTGTTTTGTCTAGATTCAGACCTGACTGCCAGAAGCAACTATTTTGTGAAGATGAAAGTATTAAGTGTTCAACTTCTTTTCTATCCCTTAATAGGAGTGAAATTATGGCAATGTGAATAGTTAGCATATTCTTTTTAAAGCCTTCAAAGTCACTTCAATTCCCACCATTTGGTACCTAAACAATGAGGGAAATAAACTAAAAGCAATCAAGGGAAATTCAGTTATAGTTTCAAATTAATAACATAGCTCTTGTCAGTCCAGTATTAAGCCAAATACTGCACTTCAGCAGCAAGATGTAGCTAAATTTGATCATGAAACATGTGCCACCTGGTGGTGATCTGCAGCATACAGCTTGTTGAGTTCTTCGTGGATGCACTGGGGTTTAGCTTATAAAGCTAACTGGCAATCTTGTGGAGCTGACTTTGCCCCAGCCCACAAGTGTTCAGAGAAGACTCTTTGATTTTGAGGTTGTAGCTCTATCTGGGTGAATCAGACCAGAAAAAGCCAAAAACACCAGCTTCTGTGATCCTCCAACAAATGAGCCACAGCCCACAAGATCCACTCAGGCCTCTCTGCTGACAGCCTGTGCCTCTCCCTGCAGCTCCAGCCCTTCCAGGATGGGGCAGGGCTGTCTTGAGACAAGCTGGAGAGACTCCTGAGCACTACACTTTTTTCTAGGGAAGATCTGACATTTTTATTTCACAGGTTTGAGAAGACATGGCAACCTCAGGTTTGAGTGTCAGATTGTAGTTGTGGTGGGTGTTATTTTCATCCCCAGGTTCCAACAGGGGTAGGAAGTGCTTACCAGTTGTTATGGGAAAAACAGTGAATGTTAATTTATTTTAATCTTTGCATGAGGAGAACCACCAATAGGGAAAAACACCTCTCATTCTGTTCTGTATTTCATTCAGGTGGTCTATTTAAAGTACACATGGAGGCTTCAGAAACAGCCTAGAAAACCAGAGGTTACCTTCTGTCACTGCTTGTTCTGTTTTCAAAGACTATTTCTGGAACTCTGTACAGGTCCCAGAATTCCCAAAGTGGAAACAATAAACACTTACCTTAAATCTTAATCAATCTGAAAAGCAAAGGCAATGAATACATGGATACCTTCTCTCTTTGGAATTCCTCTTTCCATCTGACCCCTGGAATGTTGCCTTGATCTTCAGGATGAGAGAGATGTTAATGACATACTTTCTTTCTGATTCAAGCAGTTCCAGAGCCACAGTCTGTCTTTTAGCTTTAAAAACAAACCAAGGAGGGAAATGTTGTGAACCGCTCCTCCCCCAAACCCTAGGAAATAATAGAAAGTAATAAAAAGATATGGAAAGCAATAAAAAGAGACATCAGCAAGTTTGGGGAATGTGAGAAATAGAATGGAGGAATGCTAATCAATTCAGCAGAGTAAAGAGCACAAAACCTTGGTGTTTTCATCTGCAGATGGGAAATCTGCTGAGAAAAGAGAGGCTTGAGGACTGGAGGCACCACACACAACAGAAAGTGCAAATGAGCAGCTGTGCTGCAACAGGAGACATAGACTACATAAAGTGCAATGAACCTCCAGGTCCCACCCTATGCCAGAAAGCTTCCTCATTTCTACCTCATGGAAAAGGGGAAAAATTGAACCAGAGAAGCCCTCCTTTCCAGTATCTGGGCTAAAGACATCAGAAATAGTAGAAGACAGAGTTGAAATGCTAAAATGAAAACAAGGGGCTTGCATACTGAACATTGAGACTCCCCTCAGCCTCTTCCCCTGCAGGTCCCACAATATCAGACTTATACTCTCCAGGCAGGGGACTGGAGGATCTCCTTCTGGAGAAACTGAACTGCCTAAGGAGAAAAGATCTCCAGACACTGACATAAAGAGGCCACCTATCAGAAAGTTAATTTGACACCCAATTAGCCAGTAATGAAGCCCACTTATTGATAAGCTTGGCCAATACAGAATTTCAGATTTCTTGTTCTTTAGAGCCTCTCTCTTAGATATAAATAATTAGCTAAGGATCCTCAGACATTTGAATGAAGCTTATACCATAAAAGAAAGAGAAGAAAAAAAATATACACACATCTCCTTTTTTAAAGAAGAGGGTGACACTGAATAAAGAAACAATGCAGGAGATGTAATATATAGAATGGTAACCATAGTTAATGATATATATTATATATTCAGAAGTTGCTGAAAGGGTAGATTTTAGCTCTGACTGGTGTGGCTCAGTGGGATAGGCATTGTACCACAATTGGAAATGTCCCTGGTTCAATTCCTGCTGATGCACATGCCTGGGTTGCAGTCCAGGTCCCCAGTAGGGGGCACATGAGAGGCAACAACACATTGATGTTTCTCTCCTTGTCTCTCTTTTTACCTCCCTTCCCCTCTCTAAAAATAAATACTTAAAGTCTTCAAAAAATGAAAGAGTAGATCTTCAAAGTTTTCATGGCAATAAAAGAGAATTGTATAACTATGTATGGTGGCAGATGTTAACTAGACTTACTCTGGTGATCATTTTACAATATATACAAATATCAAATTATGTTGTACATCTGAAACTAATATAATGTTATGGAATGTATGTCAGTTATACTTTAATTTAAAAAGCAGAGATGATGCTGAACCTAAAGAAAACTTTTTAAAAATCTTGTAATTAATATCCTCAAAGAGATATGAGGAAAATATTCTAGGTGTTTAAAAATTACAGGACACTATTTTTTAAAGAGAACAATCCACAAAAGAAGAAACTTTATGACATTTTTCAAGTAGAAAATAAAGTCAAGGAAATCTGCTTACCACTCCTTTCAATGTCCTCCCCCCCGCAAAAAAATACTAAGAAAAAGATATATTGAAGACAAATAGAAGAGAAAAAGATGGTAATGGAGAAAACCAATCTAGGAGATCCAACATCAACTTATTAGAAGTTTCACAGAAAAGAATATGAATGGATGAGAGGATATTATCAAATCAATCAGAGAAAAAATACTAGGATATCATCTCCCGAGGAAAGGGTCTATGTCCTCAGCATAATAAATCAAAAAGATTTTCATGTCATTGTAGGGTACAACACATCACTGAGAAACTTTAACACACCAAAGGTAAAGAGAAGATCCTAAAAGTTACCAGAGAGAAAAATCAGGTAACATAAAAAGGGCTGGGGATTAGAGCATTGGGCTTTCCCACAGGAATATTAGATGTTAGAAGATAATGGAAAAATTGCTTCAAAGTGATGAGGGAAAATGATTTTACATTCAGCTAATAAGCAAAGCATATGTAAGCTACTGGATGATGGATTTCATCAAATAAGGAGTAAACCAAGCACACAGAAGATTAAAATGAACAAACAGGAATCTAACATAGGAGAATTACGAAGGGAATTTCTGGGAAGCCCAGGAAGTTGCAGAATGGCAAATACAATGGGCCAGAATGGAGTAGGATGATAGAGGTCTGTAGGACAAATGTTTAAAAAAGAAAAAAAGAATGTAAATGATAGATTTTTTCGGTTACATTGCTATAAAAAGTTAAAGACCTATATAAAGGGCGACATATACCATGTTCTTTGATTGGAAGACTCAGGACTATTAAGATGTCAATTCTCTGGTAATTGGAATAAAAAGAATATAGGGTTTACTTCCAGTCAAGATGGAGGCATAGGTAGTCATAACTCGCCTCCTTGAGCAACCACAAAAAGAATCACAAATCACCTCAAAACAAAAAAACACCCAGAACTGTCAGAAAATCAAACTGTATAGAAGCCTGACAACCAAGAATTTAATTAGCCATAGTCAACCAGACAGGTAGGAGGGGCAGAGATGGGGAGTTGGGCTGGAGAGGACATGTTATAGCATGGAGAGGTGGTGGTGGCAATAGAATGGACGGTCCCACATTCAAGTGTGGTGGCTAAAAATAGAGAGGGATACATGGGGAGCAAGCAATCCCAGCCCTAGGTCAGACCACGCAGCCCAGGGTTCCAGTGCTAGGAAGATAAAGCCTCATAACTTCTGGCTGTAAAAATCAGGAGGGGTGGGGACCACACAAGAAACTGCCAGTTTCTCAGCAGAGTCCGTTTAAAGGACCTGCACAGACTTAGAATATATACAAACCCACCCACTCTAGGAATCACCACCAGGGCAACAGCTACAAGGGTGCCAGTTACATATGGGCAGTATGTGAAGTGACTATAAATGGGACAAGTGCCAGGCAAGCCTCCAGAAGCCAGGCGGTATTATTGTCCCATCTCTGACCCCTCCACCACACAGAAAGCCACAAAATATAATGAAGTGGATTGCCCTGCCCTAGCAATTACCTGAGGCTCTGTCCCATATAACTTAACAGGTACACCAAGATAGGGAGTCAAAGCAGCTCTACCAAATACACAGAAACAAATATAGAGAGGCTGCCAAATTGAGCAAACAAAGAAATATGGCCCAAATGAAAGAACAGAACAAAACCCTAGAAAAAGAACTAAACAAAACAGAGATAGCCAACCTATCAGATGCAGAGTTCAAAACACTGGTGATCAGGATGCTCAAAGAACTCATTGAGTACAGCAAGAACATAGGGAAGAAATAAAGGCTACACTAAGTGAAATAAAGAAAAATCCACAGGGAATAAACAGTGTAGGGAAGGAAGCCAGGTTTCAAATAAACAATTTGGAACAAAGGGAAGAATTGAACATTCAACCAGAACAGAATGAAGAGACAAGAATTCAAAAAAAACAAGGACAATATATGAAGACTCTGGGACATCTCCAAATGTGTCAACATCCAAATCATAGGGATGCCAGAAAGAGTAGAGGAAGGGCAAGAAGTTGAAAACTTATTTGAAAAAATAATGAAAGAAAACATCCTTCATTTGGTGAAGGAAATAGACATACAAGCCCAGGAAGCCCAGAGAGCCCCAAACAAGTTGGACCCAAAGAAGGCCACACCAAGACACATCATAGCTAAAATGCCAAAGGTTAAAGATAAAGAGAAAATCATAAAAGCAGCAAGAGAAAAGCACAGTTACCTACAAAGGAGTTTCCATAAGACTCCTTAGCTGATTTCTCAAAGGAAACTTTGCAAGCCAGAGGGGACTGGCAAGAAGTATTCAAAGTGAGGAAAACCAAGGACCTACAACCTAAATTACTGTATCCAGCAAAGCTATCATTTAGAATGGAAGGGCAGATAAAGTGCTTTCCAGACATGGTAAAGCCAAAGGAATTCATCATCACCAAGCCATTAATTATTACATGAAATGTTAAAGGGGCTTATTTAAGAAGAAGAAGATCAAAACTATGAACATTAAGATGGTGACAAACTCACAAGTATCAACAACTGAATGTAAAAAAAAAACAAAAACCAAGCAAACAGCTAGAACAAGAACAGAATCATAGATACGGAGATCATTTGGAGGGTTATCAACTGGGAGGGGGAATGGGGACAATGGGGTAAAAGGTACACAGATTTGAAAAGCATAATTGGTAGGTACAAAATGGGCAGGGGGAGGTTAAAAACAGTATAGGCAATGGAGAAGCCAAAGGACTTATATGCATGAACCATGAACATGACACTAAGGGGGCAGATTGTTGGAGGGAAGGGGGGTATCAGGTGGAAGAGGGAAAAGGTGGAAAAATTGGGACAACTGTAATAGCACAATCAATAAAATATACTTTAAGAAAAAGAATATAGGGTCTAAAATGAGACTCACCCATATATGATCACTTCACTCCAAAATATATTAAGAAATCTTAGTAATGCATAATAAAGATAAAGAACCCAATTTAAAAATTAGACAAAGAACTTAAATAGGCACTTCATAAAAGAACCACAAATGGCCAGTAAGCATATGACAAGATATTCAATGTCAGTAGTCATGAGGAAACCAAATTAAAACTTCAGTATCATACCAGTACACACCGAGGAGAATGGCTAAAATTAAAAAGACTGACCATACTAAATATTGGGAAGGATGTGAAGCAAATGGTTTTTTAGTACAATGCTGGTAAAATAAAATGTTCCAACCACTTTGAAAAACCGCTTTATGTTTTCTTTTAACGTTAAACACAATCATAGCCTATAGCCTAGAGATTTCACTCCTAGGTACACACTCAAGAGAAATGAGGACATACATCCACACAAAAAAAAGACCTACATAAGAATGTTTATAGAACTTTTATCCGTAATAGTCTGAAACCAGAAATACTCCAAATGTCCACCAGCAGGAGAATGGATAACCAAATTGTAGTAAATTCATTCAATGTGATTTTAAAAAGGAATGAACTACTGAATGAATTGTATACACCACATTATATGAGAGGAAGAGGCCAGATCCAGAGAAGTACATATTGTATTTTTCTACTTATATGGAGTTCAAGAACAGACAGAAACTAATTTATGGTGACAAAAGTCAGCATAGTGGTTCCTTGGGTGGGTATTGGCTGGAAAGGTGCCTGAGAGAACATTCTGGGGTAATAGAAATATTGTTTATCTTGATCTGGGTAATCATCATAAGGAGGTATCCCCATATAAAAAGTCAATGAGCTTGAACTTAAGCATTGTAAATATCACTCTGTGTAAATTAACCCTCAATAAAGTATTGATTTAAAAATAGCAGCATAGGTGGGCTGGAATGGGAGTAAAGGACAGAAAACTGTACTTGAACAATGGTTAAAATAAAATTAAAAATAAAATAGCAGCATAAACTTTTTTAAAAATATAGAAGCAAGTACCAGAAGAACCTGCCAAAAGAATTTAAATTGGTTGCTGATGTTTTTTGTAGTAAATCTTTTCGTACTGTTTAATTTTTCATGTATTTGATAATAATTTTTTAAAAATTACCTCCCACAAAATAGTTGAAGGGAAATACTATTGTCTGACACATACTAAGTATTTAGTAATAATTTGTGATTTGAAGGAAAAAAAGAGTGAAGAAGGAAGGACAGACTCTGTTGCAGTGCTTGACATTTTGGTAGTAGACTACTGATATAAGATTCACATACTGAGGATCCGACATCACTGACCAAATAGTGCCCTTCACAAAATTCCGCCCTCTTCTATGTCAAATTTATGCTTCCCCTCCTGCCCCAAAGCACTACATTACTAAATGTTATGGACACCCAGAATCAAGGTGGTAGTCCCAGCTGGCTGTGTGGCTTCTGGTGTTTCCCTTCACCTCTACAAGGTTGTAGTTCATCTGCAAAGAAACCAGATACTATGTGGCCTCATATGTCCAATGAATCTAAATTCTGAGGATTCTAGCCCTTGGGTCCATCATATTTTTTAAAATTTCAGTCTGTCATGGACACGAAAAACAGTGCAGTGTGGTGATTGCAAGTGGGCCGTGCATGGAAAGAGGGTGGTGGGGGAGGGTATGGGGGGATAAATGGTGATGGACAGAGACTTAGAGTGGTGAACACACAACACAGTGTATAGATGATGTGGTGTAGAATTGTGCACCTGAAATGTATATAATTTTTTAACTAGTGCTACCCCAATAAATTTAATAAAAAGGAAAAAATAAATAAAAATAAAGATTCTCTACAAATTAAAAAAAAAAAAGAAAAAGAATAAAATTTTAGCCTGCATTCCTCCTTGGGACTTACCAGCTAAAGAGGTTTCACATAAAACATTTTCCAAGGAGCTATGTCTGCCCTGGCCAACTTCCTTGAGTTTATCTGGGTGGTCTTTTGTGACATATTCCTCACCCCACTCTTTACCATCCTTAGGTTGCCTCCACACACCAGATGGCAGATGGCCCTTAGACTGGATATCAGCTGGGAGGCAAGGCTTGAGGTTTTCTTCTGATTCTGGAGTTGTTGGGTTCATTCCTGAAAAATAACACTTGACATCAAGATCTAATTTTTAAAAATTATATTTGTTACTAATTCTTAAATACGATGCTCATGTGCAGGATGAAATAGATCAACTAAGGATTAAACATTTTTACAATTACAAAGGATCACCTCTCTGTTTCTGGTCTATATGTCTTCTACTCTTTGTACATAGTCTCTACTAAATAAGGAATTTAAAAAAAAATAAATTTATAAAAAATGTAATTAATTTATAGTAGTATGTATTGACTCCTTCTATCTGCTTCATTCCAGGTGAGTACACCAAGTACCTGTAGCACTCCTGGAAAAGAGAGTACAAAAAGAGAAGGAAGAAGGTGCCAAAGACAATGCCATCTTTGGACCTTGTCCTCCTTGGCCCTGATGATGGTGAATTGCAAAAAGGAAAGAGTAAGTACATGTGGGAAGATGAAATAATCTATAAAATTGAGGTGAATTGTCTATTAAGTAAATAACTTCTAAATTACATAAGCCAGCAATTTTCAAACAATGTGCTGCAAGAATTTTTAATACATACAATACCTGTCTATTTAGTCAGGGACACTTAGCTCTTTTCCTTTAGATTGTCAAATTAAAAAATGGCAACAGACAACACAATGATAGCCATCTGGTGTGAACGAATCAAAGTTATACCTATTTTTTATCATGTCAGCAAAAATATATTTTTAGTGTGCTGTAGAATTTTATAATTAGTTTATGTGTGCCATGAAATGAAAAAGGTTGAAAGTAACTGAAGTAAACTATAAAATTTGTGGTTCATACAAAACTTATGTCATGCTACATACACCTGAGAGTTCTCAGCAAATGTTAATTCGTCTGTAATTGAAAGGCACCAGAAAGAATCAAAATAGTGGTTTGGTCTTAAACTTCCTCACACCTTCTCTGTCCTTGGGTTTAACTGAGTCACTGACCTTATCCAGCACATCTCAGAATCTTGATAACCAATATGCTTAACTTACCTGAGTTTTTTCATGCCTGATTTGGGACTGAGGGAGTAGAAACAAGGAAGGTTGAAAAAGGGGAAGGGTGGAATTGCCAGAAGAAAAGAGAACTCAAAGAAGGGCCACTTACCAGGACCCATCATCCCTTTCACATTACTGTCTCCTATATGCATGGATCTGGACTCTTGGGCTGCAGAGAAAGGAAAGCTTTCAATCAGTATTCATTCCAGTAACATGGACTGGGCACTCTCTATGAGCCAGGCATTGGGGACAGACTCACAGAGCTCACAGTTTACTGGAGCAGATAGAGCAGTAAATAAATAAATAAATAGCAATACAGTGTGACAAGTGCTCTTTTCCCACCTATCAATAGATATAATAGTGGTACATACCTCATAGACTACCATAAGAATTAAATCAGTTAATACTTGTAAACTGCTTAAAGTGGTACCTGGTAAACTGCAAATTATTGTTTAACCATGATGGTGGAGAGGGTAATGATGAGAGGCGCCAGGATGGTGCTATTAAAATGTCAGACCCTGCCATTCTCTGCTGAGCCCTCCAGGGGCCTCCCATTTTTGTATAAAAGTTTTATAATGACCTTAAAATGATCATAAGACCCTAAAACATCTGCTGTTCTCCCTGCCTGCTGTTTCCTTTCTTCTTTTTTTTCTTTTTCTTTTTTTTTTTTTTTTACTGCAACTCCTATTATGTTCCTTGTTCACTCTGCTTTAGGTTCTTTTTGCCGTTCTTTGAACATGTCAGTTATGTTCCTGCCAATACCTTGGTACTGGCTGTTGCCTTTCTTCCCCTCAGTATAGTTCCTAACTTTCTCACCTCCTTCAGGTCTTTACCTGGCACATACTATAAAATTATAGTTGTATTTCTTCACTTTTCTCCCTATTGCTACCTAACATATTATGTATTTTATTTATCTTGTTCATTGTCTGCTTCCTTCAGAACAAAGGCTCCATGAGGGCAGGAGCTTTTTTTGTTTTGTTCAGTACTATATCCTATCACCTAAATCAATGTCTGGGGTGGGTGGATGGACAGGTAAATGGACAGAAGGAAGGATGAGCAGCTATGGCCAACACCTTGACTGCAGCCTCAAGAGAGATCTTGAGCCAGAGGCACCCAGCTAAGCTGTGTACATATTCCTGACTCAGAGAAACTGTGACATAATGAATGTTTGCTATTTTAAGCTACTAAATTTGGGAGCACCATATTATAACTAACAGTGAGTAAGTTAATCCTTTCTGAAAGTTTAGTCCTTTGACCTTGAGTTTTAATATAACCTACTACCAATGGTATAGTGACTTATTATGGCACATTATTCCCAAATTATTGTAGCAACTTGGTAGAAGAAATAATGTTATATAAGCCAGGCCTACATAACAGCGAATGAAGGAGGAGTTGCCACTAAACAGCTAGTTTAATCTATCTGGGCACTTAAAAATATAATTTGTAATCATTTATCTTGTAAAAATGTTCAGTTGCCTCAGATATAGCATTGACCTGACCTTTACTTTCCAAGCCCATCCTGTAATCTCTCCTAACAAGACCATCTTTTATGTCATGCTGTCCATGACACAGACCAAAGAAAACAGAGCCACCTACCATAAACCCACATTCCAGGCAGGTCAAGTGAGTTTTCCCAGGGTGCACCTATCAGTCCCTAAAATAACTACTCAAATGGGTAAAAATAAAAATAAAAAATAAAATCTGTACTTTGAAGTTAATACTTATTAAAAGCCATTTGATTTTTAAATTCAGTTATTCAAAATATATTTATGGTCATTGGATATATGAGCCTAATTGTACATTAAGCCATAAGGGTAGAGAACCACCAGTCCTGCCCTTGAGGACTTTATAATGGATTGAGAAGTCACCGAGCCTCTTTTGGAGACTTTCTACATATGACCAAAAAAAACAAAAAAAAAAAAGAGAGAGAGAGATTTATCTAAACACTGTTAATATCTACATTCATTCTCCTGTCCATGTTTTGCTAGGTGTTATTGAGGATACAAAGAAGTAGCAATCATTTTTTGTTTAGTTTCTTTTCCTCAGTTCAATACAGGTCACTAACCGATGTCTGCGGACATCCCCCAGAAAGCTAGTTTGCTTCAGTACTGCCCAAGTATAATTTTTTATTATTTGTTCTAACATCACAGATCAGGGATGTGGCTGGTGACAATTTCAGGGTGCAGACAGTGCAAAGTTAGACTGCCCCTGATGGCACTGCCTGCCAGTTAGGGTATATATGACTTTCTTACATCAGTGAAACCTTTGTTGAAAAAAAAAGCAGAGCACACAATTTTATCTCTATGCTAAGAATACAGCTATTTTTAAAATGTCTATGCAGAGAGACAAGGGCTGAGAAGTAATATGGGGAATAAAACAATTTATTAGAGCGAATAATTTTTAACATTTCTTGCCCTATGGTTGTGCAACAAACTATTTTTAATCCCCTTGAAATTTAGAACACCAAGTATTTTCCCAAAAGAGAAAATGTTTTAAAATTAGGCAGACTCTTTAATTTCTAGGTTTCTCAGATCCTCTGGATTCTTTTAAATTCCATATACAAGGGGGAAAATTCTGAGCAACATACCATTTTCCTCTAAAAAGAATGAAGACCTTAGGCCCATTCTTACTACTACTTTGACCCTCAGATTATAGGAAAAAAATGCTTGGCTAAATGCTTGGCTAATGCTTGTGAACTGTACCTTTTTCATAGGCTTGAGAAGGCAGAATGTTTGTAAAGTCTTCATTTGGAATAACAGGCTCAGGGACGTTGATTGAACGGAAGGGACTTCCTTGTGCTTGACCAGGCCCAGCCTGTGGGCCGTGTTCTTCTTTTTGCATTTTCCTAGGGAAGGGAAGCAGAAGGTCTTAATACTTGGTGGATTAGGAAGAGATTCAGTTCAGAATAATTCAAGAAAATTTTTAAATTATTAAGGTGAACCATATAAAATTGCTGTTTAAGTAAATTAAAAATTGTCGAGTACTAGCAACTTAATTTATCACCAAGTTGAAGAGAAATTTAAATATCTATTAATCACCTTCTAATTTTAACATCTACATTCTTATTTTTTTGTTACTGGCTTCCCTGTCATCAGGATCTTTATAAAGTTTGTAGTGGTGACAATTTGCTTAGGATAATTTACATTAATTTAACAAGGCAGTACTAAGGTGCCAGGAGGCAGCAGGTCTTCAACGGAAAACAATAAGCTATTCTCCAGGATCACACAAATATTATTGCCATATTTCTATTTTTAATTTGATAATATTAAAACATATAACAGTAAAGATTATGTATATTTACTTCCAGTCAGGATAGAGGTGCAGGTAAACATGGCCACCTCTTTGCACAACCACAGCAAAAATTACAATAGACAACAAAAATACAACATCAACAAGGATCGTCAGAAAATTGAGGTGTATGAAAGTCCTACAACCAAGGAATTAAAGAAGTCATGTTCAAACAGACAAGTAGAAGGCACGGAGACATGGAGACACAGACACATGGAATGGGCAGTTCCACACCCAAGTGTGGTGGATAAAATCAGGAGGGATACCTTGGGAGCGAGGGATCCCAGTCCCACACCAGACCCCCCAGCCCGGGGTTCCAGTACCAGGAGGATGATAGGTCCTCATAACTTCTGGCTGTAAAAACCAGTGGGGGGTGGGATGGAGGAAGAAACTGTGGGATTCTCAGCAGTCTCCTCTTAAAGGGCCCACAACTGACTTAGGACTTATGCAGACTCACTCCCTCTGGACAGCACCAGAGCAGCAGCTAGAAAGGCACCAGTGACATATGGACAGAAACTGAAGCATCTGGCTTCAGGATGAGTGCCAGGGGACAGTTTCCTTCCAGATAAAATCCAGAGGCCATGAAGCAGCACTGTCCCCTTTCGGAGCCCTCCCTCACACAGAGCCACAGAGTGGCAATACCATATTGGAGACTCCATCAACCTGGTTCACACAGGTTGCCCCATCTTGAAGATTACCTAATGCTCCACCCCATCTAACTTACCAGTGCACTGTAACTCCAGAAAATGAACTAAATAAAAGAGATAAGCAGTCTCTCGGGTGCAGAGTTCAAAACACTGGTTATTAGGATGCTCAAGGAACTCACTGTACTTCAACAGCACAAAAAGACCCAGGCAGAAACAAAGATTATATAAGTAAAATAAAGAAAAATTTACAAGGAATCAACAATGGAGTAGATGAAGCTGAGAATCAAATCAATGATTTGGAACAAAAGGAAGAAATAAACATTCAACCAGGACAGCAAGAAGAAAAAAGAATAAAAAATAAATAAACAGGAGAATATAAGAAGACTGGGACATTTCCAAACATGCCAACATCCGAATCATAGGGATGCCAGAAAGATTAGAGGAAGGGCAAGAAATTGAAAACTTACTTGAAAAAAATAATGAGAAAAACATCCTTAATTTGGTGAAGGAAATAGACATACAAGTCCAGGAAGCCCAGAGAGCCACAAACAGGTTGGACCCAAAGAGGTCCATACGAAGACACATAATTAAATCATAATTTTAATCATTTTAATCATAATTAAAATGCCAAAGGTTAAAGATAAAGAGAGAATCTTAAAAGCAACAAGAGAAAAGCACAGAGTTCCCAACAAAGGAATTTCCATAAGACTGTCAGCTTGATTTCTCAAAAGAAACTTTGCAAGCCAGAAGAGACTGGCAAGGAGTATTCAAAGTGATGAAGAGCAAGGACCTACAACCAAGATTACTGTGTCCACAAAGCTATCATTTAGAATGGAAGGGCAGATAAAGTGTGTCCCAGGCAAAGTAAAGCTAAGGGAGTTCATCATCACCAAGCCATTATTATATGAAATGTTAAAAGGACTCATTCAAGAAAAAGAAGAAGATCAAAACTATGAGCATTAAAATGGCAATAAATTCACAACTATCAAAAATTGAATCTAAAAAAGCAAACTAAGCAAATAAGCAGAACAGAAACAATCAGATATGGAGATCATTTGGAGGGTTACCAGCTGGGAGGAGGAAGAGGGTGAATGGGGGGAAAGTGCAAGGATTAAGAAGTACAAATTGGTAGATACAGAATAGACAGGGGGATGTTAAAACAGTATAGGGGATGTTAAAACAGTATAGGAGATGGAGTAGCCAAAGAACTTATATACATGACCCATGGACATGAACTAAGATGGGGAATTGCTGCAGGGAATGGTGGGTACCAGATGGAGGGCTAGAAAGGTGGAAAAATTGGGCAAACTGTAATAGCATAATCAAGAAAACATATTTTTAAAAAAGATTATCTATGTTTAGTGCTGAAATTTTACTTGAGTCAACCTAGGTGATGTATTATTTAACATTTATTTTCCATGGTAGAGATAAACTAATAGTAGCTAGAGAAATTTTATAAAATTAATAAAAAAGGAAAATTGCTGATGATCTCCCCCACCCTAACAAAACAATCATTATTTTATTTATTTACTTATTCTAGAAAGAGGTGAAGGAAGGGAGAAAGGACGAAAGAGAAACATCAGTGTGAGAGAAAAATATGGATTGGTTGCCTCTTGCATTCACCCTGACTGAGGACTGAACCTATAGCCCAAGTATGTCCCCTGCCTGGGAATTGAACCAATGAATTTTCACTTTGCAGAATGACACCCAACCAAGTGAGCCACATTGGTGAGAATAACAATCATTATTTTAAAATATATCTTTCTAGTTGTTATTTTACATGTTACTATAGTTGAAATCAAATTCTACATGTCATTTTATATCATTTTCATTTTACTGCCTATTAAGTGCATTTTCCATCTAATAGTTACCATCAATTTTTAGTGTTAACCAACCTTTATGGCTCTATAACCTCAATCACACGCTGACCCATGGATCCCAGTGGCCAGCTAGCTCTATACTGATAGTGGAGAAGGTGTTTCCAGTGTCTGCACAAGTCATTGCTTATGGATTTGCCTGTGGTCACTTTTTGGATGAAACTCACTTGGCTTTTACTTTTCGAGATTCTCTTCGCTTCTCCTGTTGAAGCTGTTCAATTTTCTGTTGCATTTCTTCTTGTTTGGAAGTGATGGCCTGTATCATTGACATAGCATTGCTTAGCTCTTCCTAAAAAATAAGCATTGGTATGTATTTAATCTGGTGTATTGGGTAAAAATTTAGAATATCTAGTATATAGTAAGCTGTTAATACAAATTTGTTAAGTGAATGAATGAATGAGTCAATGAATGAGAAATGGAAAATTTACTTGTATTGTGGTCTCTAATTTTAACACAGAGATCCAAGAAAGAACAACATAAAATAGATATTTTTCCATGAGAATTAGTGAATAGGCAAGAGGGAATATTCTTTTTTTTCTTTTATTTTAATCATTGTTCAAGTATAGTTTTCTTCCTTTTACTCCCAATCCAGCCCCCCCAACCCTCCCCACTTCCCTCCCATTACCCTCCCCCTAGCTTTTGTCCATGTGTCCTTTAAGTTTGTTCCCGTGAACCTTTCCCAATGTCCCCTGAAATTTGCAAGAGAGAATATTCTTATATTTGGTTGCAATGTGAAAAGGTAAGTTTTCTACTTGTGTAATTAAAACCAAGACTCTCTTCAGTAGGGAAATAGAAGACGAGCCTACCTTGAAATAGTTTAATGAATTCTTCATCTCAGTAACTTTTTCTTCCATGGAACATTTGCAGCTCTTAACCTTCTCTTCCAAAGCATATTCTCCATGTTGAATTCTGGACAGTTCTTGCATTGCTTCTGTGAAACCAGTTTTGAGTTCAGAGGCCAGGGCCTGCAACTAAATAATATATGAAGAGTGAATTCAATTTGCTATAAATAATTAGAAATGGTACCATTGACCTTTGAATTTTTATTTTTGTTTGAGAAGCCAGGCTCTTGAAAATTTAAAGACCTAATTTCCTGGTACACTAAAGTTTGGATAACTTAAGGCAACATTGGCCCCATTCATCCTGGAAAAAGAAACACATACTGATGCTTGATAGTGACAAGAAATCAAGCAAATAATTAAGTTTACTAGTGCATCTGTAAGCTATTATGTAGTCCAACACCTTTGGTTAAAGTGAGATTTACTTGAAAAGCAACATAAGCATGTGAAAGACAGCCATGGTCCTGTAACTCTTCAAGTTCCATGAAAGAAAAGATGGGTTGTATTATCCCTGGTTGTTAGGAGAAGATGAAGAAATTGTTACTTTTTTCTATAAAAAATTAAATGATAAAAAGAGTAATGACTAAGCATATCTGAGAATTTCTTCGAAAAGGAAGAGGTTTTCTTTTTTGTTCTTGAATGGTATGGAGAAGGAGATAATGGCATTTTCAAGGGCAGTGTGCTTTATAAAGAAGGCACAGAACCACCTGCAGGGGTAGGAGTGCAGCATGTCATCGTGGTGATATGATTCATCTTCAGCAGTAAAGTCTGGTTGTATAGGAGCACACATGTTGGACTTCTGTTGTCAATGTCCACACCATCAAAAGGGGGTCAGTTTTGGAGTCAGACAGGGCACAAATCTCAGTACTCTCCCACAAGTGCATGGACCTTGGGCAAGTTGGTTAACCTCTTTGAGGCAGTTCCTTCATCCATCACATAACTATAACAATACCTGTTCCACAAGGCTGCTTTGAGAATGCAATGAGTAAGTGCAGGTAAGGTGCCTGTCCTAGTGCATGCTAGGGACATGGAAGGTGTTTAAGAAATTTTAATTTCTCTCCCCTTTTGAATGGCAAATCAAAAAGTTAAACAACAAAAAGGTGGAAAAAAATGGAACACTTAGTAAAGTTCAGTTTTTTTTATTGAACAAATGAAAAAGCATTTTCAACACAGAGTAACTTAATAACAAGATAGCATTACTTTCTTGAAATTTATAATCTTATAATTTACTAAGTAGAGGAACTCTTAGCTCCAGATCTCTCTTTAAAACATAATTATTTAGAAAGTTTGTTCTGTAATTAAAAGTATCCACCAAGTATTCTGATTTTAAAGAGATGGCAATTAAAGTCCAGTTACCTTAACAAAATTCTTTCAAACATGTACTTCTAAACAATTTGGAATCTGGTTGTCCCAATGTTTCCAACTTGCCCCTTCCACTATAAAATGACTTAGTTACCTACATCCTATAAAATAAAGGATTCTGTGGTTCACTGTGCTTCACAAAGGTTTCCCTTGAGGGCTGGCAGTAGGGAGAAATAAGAGGAACCAAAGAGATTATTCAGAGGAAAAAAGCCAGACCTGTCAAGTGTTTGGGACTGGAAGACTAGGAAACAACACAAACAATCTGATTTTCATTTTGGTTGTTTTAATTTTAATTAGTCTTTGTGATGGATTGTAGCACACGTCCTAATCCAGTTATCATGATGGGTTAAATCACCAGATCAACTACTTTTGATCTGGTAATTCTCATTATGTAAATTTACCTTCTATGAGCAAAATAAACAAAATCTACAACTATGTATTTTCAAAGCAAAATGTATGTAAGTTTTAAAACTGAAGGAAGGAAACCTGACATTCTTTCAGGTACTCTGAAATTCACTCAGGTTTCCTGCTTGAAAAACAAAGAGAACCAGTATCTGACAGAAATAGGTTTCATTATCACTATTCCCTGAGGTGGTGTGTGGAGTTTCCCCAGGAGCCAAAGGGCAACAAGCAGGGTCCTGGAAGAAAAGACTTTTCCTCACCTGTAGAACCCTAGCTCTCAAAAAATTAAGAACTATCAAAATTTTTCTCTAACAGCCAGGTTATATAGGGACTTTGGGAATTTTGAAACCATTTTGAGCTGTGAGCCCATTTCCTTCACATATATTACTTTGAGTCCCTTGGGTACCTGCCTTTGAAGTTATAAAACACTACTGCTTTATAAACAGCTTCACAACTCGTGATCAGCTGGGGAGCGGATGCCCTAGTGAGCACAATCACACACCTGAGACAGCATGTCACTTTTAGGATGCTTAAACTCTTAATATCTTTAGTTGCTCCAGACTGCTAGCCATTCCTTTGTGAATTAAACAAAAAATACTCTGAAGACAGGGACTTAGTATCTTTTTTCTGCTCTCTCTTCAGCTTTCTTATTTGACAGCCCACAGCCCACCCCAAGGATTAGAAATGGGTGTCTACCTTGTTCTCCAGCGAGTTGAACACGTTCCTCATCTCGTTGATTTTTTCATGAAGCTGCTCTAGAGAGGTTATGATCCCTCCATCCTGCCGCTGAAGGCGGGCTCCCACTGGAGGCAGGTTCAGGGAAGACTTGTACTTCGAAGCCTGGGGTACCACAGAGGGCATCTTAGGCTTAAAGAAATAGGGGAGAGGAGTCCGAATTTTTCCTATTTCCTGCTCTTAATTTCTGTTTCTCAATTTTCTTAATTTTCTTGGCTTCTTAACTCTTGCTATTTTTTTAAGTCTTCCTAATATGAATTTTAGTCAACATCTTCCAACCAAAGATCCCTCAGCTAAATTTTCTTAAAGTATGCAAGTTATTATACAGATTTCTCCTTCCTTTCTGTCCCATTATCAAGGTCAGAAAGCTACTATGGGGAAATTTGGGGGACTGGGCCTGTACTTGAGAACCCTGGAAACTTGTTAATGTGAACATTCGAGAAACCTCTCTACAAGACATGACAAATTCCTGCATTACCCAACGGCTCTGCAAGAACAAAGCCCAGGTGTTCTGAAGTAGCACACGATGGCAAGGAAGCCAGGTTAATTTTTTTGGCTTCCGACCTAACCAGGGTTGCTACGGAAGAAATTTGGTCATCCTGTTAGTTTATATCTCCCTAATTTAAGGCTTCTTTATTAATCTCCAGAAATGCGATGATTTAAAACACAAAGAGGGGAGTAAGTCATTTGAATAGTTAAGAGTAAATTTCCCAAGTCTATTTCTCCACACTTCCTACAGAAGTTGATCCTTAAAGTCATTATTACAGGGCACTATTGAAGCTGATATGAAGCCTGGTGTGCCAGAAACTGATCCTACCGATCCTTGGATGCACCATGGGCCTGATAGACAGAGTTACCTTCTCATGTGTTGGAGACATTCCTCAACTGCAAAAACAAGACTGAGGCTCAGACAGGACTTGCAAATCCTATGAAACTTTCAATGGTAGTTTGAATGATGAAACCTATTACTGTAGGACTGGTTCCCATAGTTTTTCAATTAGAGGTCCTTTTGGCACATAACTCATTTTCTTAAATTATTTTCATTGTAGAGAAATAGAAAAAAAAGAGACTCACCCCAAATCTTATTACTTTAATATCACCATCATGTTTGGGTATATTTCCTTCTGTTTTATTCTGTGCATATGAATGCAGATATTTATATGGTTGAAATCATACTACAGTTGTATTTTGATTCTGCTTCCTCTTTTTGCCTAACATAAGCCCTTTCCCTTATCCTTAAAATTTTTCCTAAATATCTATTTTTAATAACTACATAATATTCCATTCTGTGGTTATGGCAGAGTTTAGCCACATATTCACTCTGGAAATTTATGTTGTTTGTAATTTTTCAATATTGTAAATAATGCTGACATTATGCTTTTTATTTAAAGCTTTGTGTGTATTTCAGATTTTTTCCTTCATATAAATTCCTAAATATGAAATTACTGTGAGTCAAAGCATGTTAGGTAGTATTTAACCCAAAGGGAAATCTTAATCCCAAAGGGAGAGAGATAATATATTCAATTAATTAATACATATACAAAATATATTTGACCAAATGATTTTAAAGTTATAATAATATGGCTATATTTTCTTTGAAACATACTGTATCATGTGTAATGTCCTAAATTAGTATATTTAGAAAATCATGTCTTGAACATGATATAGGAAACAATATACATGGAGGAAGCTGCAGTGTTTACATTCCTAAGGTTACAAGTGAGCCAAAAGCATGTTGGAGTTCAAATCATAAGTGTAACCATTGAGCTAGGGCTAAATTGTGCAGTTAACACATCTGTTGCCTTAATTGTGGAACCACCCCCCTACTTCTCATGTTAATGAAATCATAACTTTAAAATCCATATGCAAAATACAGTAATCAAGAGTGAAGCAACACAATCTGACTCTGAAAAGAGACAGGAATAGGCTTTGAGAGGGCTGGATACAGTGAACAAAGGATGAGAGAAGGAGATAGATCTGAGTTCAAATGAAAAGAAATACACTGTGCTAAGGAGCAGTCAGGGTTTCCACATGGCTTGCCTGCCCCGACAGTAATTCTGCCTGCAATGAACTGGGAAATGGTAGTGCTCATTCTTCTGTTGGCTTCCGTGACCTGATTTGGGTCACTGTTACCTCATACTCTTACCATAGAGGTCAAGTCCGTCCAAAAAACAAATAGCCAACTGGGAGTGGGAACATTCTAACATTATTACTACATTTTTTTTAAAAATTTTTATTTATTTGTTTTTAGAGAGGGAAGGGAGGGAGATAGAGAGAGAGAGAGAAACATCAATGTGCGGTTGCTGGGGGTCATGGCCTGCAACCCAGGCATGTGCCCTGACTGGGGATCGAACCTGGGACACTTTGGTTCCCAGCCCGCGCTCAATCCACTGAGCTATGCCAGCCAGGGCACATTTTAACTAGCAATTTTTATTCAAGTTTATGCCAATTTATACATATTCATCAAAACCAAATATTATTATTTTATTATTTGTTAATTAGGCAGTAAAAAAAAGTAGTCTTTATTTTAATCATTGTTTCTATGTGCTTCAACCTTTTCTTCTATTTATTAGCCATCCGTAATGTTACCATGGTCAACTGACTGTGTCCTTTGCCCATATTCTACTAAGGTCTCAGGAGTTTCATTTTTTATTGATTTCTATGAGTGTATAGATATTACAAAGGCTTAATTATAAGGATTTTTTTCAATTTTGTTGTTTGTCTTTGAATTGATTGAAAATATATTTACATTGGGAAAACTTTTAGTTGTAATGTGTATGAACTTTCTAACCCTTTCCATTGTGAGTTCTTTTGGTGCTTTTTTACCTAGATGTTTTACATCCAGAGACAAATATTCACTAATTCTAAACTTTTATGGTTTTATTTTTTATATTTAACCCCTTTATTCATTTTAGAGTTTACTTTGATTAGTATATGAAGTGAGGATCTGTTCTTTCTTTTTCCCAAAGAACCAGACAATTTCCAAACACCATATGGTACCAGACTGAATGACTACATCAGACCTCTTGGCCCAAAGCAATACACACATTTTGCAGATGTTCACTCATTCATTCAGCTAATATTTATTGAATATTTTTATATTCCAGGTACTGTACTTGATGCTGAGAATGTACAAAAGAGCAAAATGTACTAAATCCCTGCTTTTGGAGCTTACATTCTAGAGAGAGACAGACAATAAAAAAAATACACAAGTTAGTATTTACTATAATGTCAGGTAAGGATGGGGGCATCCTCCAAGAAAATAAAATAAGGAAATAGAGAGTGGCCAGAATGTCATATTTTACTTCAAATTTCATGTTTTGCTCTCCCTTTTTAGTGCAGATTGTATTCTTTTATAGTTAACTTTGCCCTGCTTCCCTCCTTCCTCTTCCTCTTCTTTCTTTACTTCTCCTCCTTCTTCTTTTGGTTAAATATTGCTTGGAGCAAACAAACTGGGGCTTAGAAAGCATTCTTTTAAGACAAGAATGAGGTATAATCACAGCATCATAGAGGTCATATAGACCAATTCACTTCCACGGCTTCACTTGTTCCACTGTGAACAGATGTACTTGGATTTGCAATACAATAAAAGAATGAGGCCGCCACCACCACTGTAGCTATATTTAGCCAACATTTGGGGAGTGACCTACATAAAATCTGTAACAGACTTTAAATCATACCTGAGTTTAAAGTGATACTCACATTCATTTGAATGCCATACACAAGTCAGACATTAACAGAGGGGAGGTGGGCAGGGAAGACATTTGGAGGTCTTGGACAAGTGAGGCATCAAATCAGCATTGAGTGAAGACTCTCTTGTTTCCAGGCCTTTGCTCGGCTAGTCCCTCTGCCTGAAATACCCTTCCCCATAACCACTTACCAAATGATCATCTTGTCCTTAAATGCCTGGTTCACATCCTTCAGTCAATATTAATTCATCCTTCCTCCATATCTCATAGAATTTTATCAATGCTTCTGTTGTAATCCTTCCAACAGTCTACCTTGTATGTGTTTACCAGGACACTTAAAAATCAGTGAGAAGGTATGTTTCATTTGTTTTACCTCCCACTAGGTCAAACAGTAGACTTTGCACATAGCAGCTGTTCAATCAATGCACATTAGGTTGAAATGAGGCTGTTTCCTCTATCCCCTCTCATTGCTGGTCCGGGTTGAGTAGCAACACAATTGAAGACATTTGTGTAATCCTGTGCTGGCTTGTCCTAATTGGGTTCACAGCAATGATCTCTTATATGATATTTCTAGGAACTTGATATTTTCACTTTACTGTCATTTAAGCTCACCAAATCTAAATAATATTTCCCCCAAACTATCTGCTCTTCTGAATTTCTCTATCTCTTTTAGGAGACAGCTCTTTTTCCTAGTTACCAGGGCTTAAAACCTTAGAGTCAACTTTAAAATCACCTTTTCTTCCAACTCCCACCAAGCTCTGTCAGTTCTTCCTTCTCATGTGTTCCAGATTACACTGTCCTATCTATCTCTGGAGCAGTGCACGCGTTTCCCAAGCCCAAGCTGCTTTTATCTTACAAATTATGTCAGAATATACTTCCAAGTTTTTAAGGACACAAAATTTACTTTAAATTTACAGTTGGAACATAGAAGCCAAATAAATACTATTCAGAGAGCCAAAGCAGCCTAACTGCAAATATATTACAAAATGTTTTTCACAATTTTTATGTCTCGTGTAAATTAAATTATTCCCATTCTTTAAAGGAGCTTAACATTTTTTCTATCACCATGTTTTAACATTTGCAACGTTAACCGTCTTTTGATTTTCAATTGTCCCTGCTAAAATAGGGAATTAAGAAAAACAGATTTTGCTTTCTCTTTCTCTCTGGGGGAAATATTGCATGGTGTACTGACCATGGTGATGGTGGCAGCAGCAAGAAAAGCGGAGTTGATGTGGGAGCGGTGGTACTGTGTTTTATAAACTGGGTTAAGTGATCCTTTAATAATCAGTTTTCTTAAAAGTGCAATGGGAATGGTGCTCTCTGCCCTGCCTATCTAAATACAAGGAACTTGTTAAGTGAAGAAATATGATGATACACGTGGAAGCATTTGTAAGCACTAAAAATTGTACATACAAGACAGTCATCACTATTACACATGGGACTGTTCAAAACAATCTCTCTGTCTTTACCTGGTAAATCTGTGTTGAAGGGTTATTCATCGTCATATGTTCATTCTCTCCTGTGGGGAGAAAGAGCTTTGTTCAGTCAATACAACTCATTCTGTCCCTGTCCTCTTCAGACATGGGCAGGGAATAAGGGGACTTACAGGATCCTAAATCTTTGCCTGCTGGACAAGAGACCAATGATTTAACAATGACAAAGCACGACCTGGTGTAGGTGACTTTACATTCACGTCCGAATGACCAAACCGTACCTACCTGAGGAATCTCCTACAGAGAAAACCATGTTCTACTGTGGTGGTGATGTTTCTCAGCTAAACTGAATGGTTAGCAATCATTCATTAGCCAGAAGTGCACACCCGTGAAGGGACTCGCTTGTGTTCTTGGGGCTGACTGACGTGTAACTGAGGAGGTGGTTCTCTAGTTAGGAAGACTGCTCTTCGCCCGACACCTGTACAGTCGTCACTCTGTTGTTCTCCGGAGGCCTGTGTAAAATACCCTGATGTCACCTGCCTCTGATCCTTGCAAAACTTCTGAACTCTGACCTCCTGTCACTGTCCACATCAGCTAAGAGAACCGTGCTGTCCTCCTAGGCAAGAGGGTTGATAGAAAGGAATTGTTAATGGAAGGTGTCTGGGAAGGATGGAAGCAGAAAGAAAATAGTCTTGGCAACACTAGAGACTGTGAAACACAGGAGAAAAAAGGTTGGCCTAGAAGTACCTTCCAGAATCACATTGGTTGGCCGCAAAGACAAGGCAACCCATGTAAAACATGCAACTCCTTGCTGATCCATTTAGCTGTATCTCCACTGTGTCACATTGTATGTATCAGCAGTTTATACATGCAACCCCTGGCTGCAAACATTTGGTTGTGTGAATATGTATATTGTTCTCCTAAGACATGTGGGCACAGGATATCCTTCCTTAGAGGAACCAGCACAGTATGTGAGTTCATAAATAATACATAGCCTCAGCCCAGAACTTACACACACAGAGGGCTGTCCCTATAAAATCCAGATGATTTGAGATCACCAAAACCCCCTACATCAGCTTGAGTCCAGATTCCTTAGCTCATTTTATGCTGTGCCCCAACAGCCTAGTGTCATGACAAGAATCAGAACTTGGGAATAGAGACCAGGCTCCTAGACTGAACTTTGATATTTTGTGGTTGTAGCCTAAATTCTTTCTGACTGTTTTCTCATCTGATAACAGAACCTCCCTCCATATGGGTCATTCTGTGTGGTAAAGAGTAAAAGAGAAGACCCTGTTTCTAGGCCACCCTATAAGGTGTTAGATGTCTGTTAGTTGAATGTGTATCTTGGCCTTATTGATCAGGTTAGTCTGAGGCAGTTCTAAATTTATTGCTAAGAAAAATTAGAAAACTGCTCAGAAAAAACTATATAGATAGAATTTTATGTTTCTCCAGCACCAAGCCTATGCTCTTCATGGACATTTTATGATGATAAATGAAAATAGTAAAGTTAACATATTATCATTTTTTAAGTTCAATTTTTATTGTATTTTTTCCATGACTATTTATCCCCCCATATTATCTGTTTTGAAAAAACAGGAAGACAAAACCACAACACACATTTCTTAAATTCTGAGCCCTAGAGCAAGACATATGAAAAATCTAACCTTGCTTCGTTTTTGTTTTTTCCATGGTGCCTGCTGCTTCTCTCCTCCGGCTGATTCTTCAGCATTGCACCTTCATTGCCCCGGATCAGGCCACCCCCTCTTCCCTGGACCTGTCAATTGAAATCAAGAGTAACGGACAGCAGGTAGAACTGGGGAAGTAACTGGACTTACTTTATGTGTTGACTTGAAAAAACTTGAAATGAACACAGCTATTAGAGGAGACTTGTGGTGAGGTTTACACACTTCCAGAAGAGTAAAACATTGAGTAACTATTTAACTTAAAACTTAAAGGTAAATATTTTGTGAATAACTATAAAATTCATTAATTATTATACTGATCTTTAATATGGTGCATTCTTTTTTCAATCAAATTAATTAATTTAGACCCATTGATTTTATTTGCAGGTTTTAGTTTAGGGCAATTATGTAAAAAGAAAAAACTTGAGCAAGTATGAAAGCCAAAACATCTGTTTCTATTTCATTAAATATAAACTTCTTTGATGGCCTTGTCCACACTTTCAGCACCTTGCAGACTCTTTACATCCAGCAGATGCTTCTCAGTTGTGTCCTGGCAGTAGTGACCACTAGACATAAAGCTGCAAGTTCAGAATGCAATCTAATAAAGAAATCAAAACTATCAGTGTTGTTGATATTGGCCCTTTTTTTAACCATCTAGGATTTTAACCCTTTCTGATGATTTGGGGAAAGGGTTAAAATTAAAACTTTGTGAGGTTTGATAAGATGCCTCCCACCATGGAGGCTGAAAGTGTGTTCGCCTCGCCTCTATTGCAGGTAAGGCATGATGGACACATGATCTAGGATATGCCACTCGGGTGTATACATTCCACCTGACCCCAGAAATTGCAGGATTTCCTAAGGGACATATACCTGATAGACTTTTTACTTTCTAAGAAGTACAGTAAGTTCCTAAGACAGTTCAGGTAACTCAAACTGCTTCTTCTGGTGCTTTCCTCACCAGAACAACTCTACTATATAATTTGGGGCATTGTTGCTGGCCATAAAATTCCAAACTTGGTTCACCAGTCTCCCAGCAATTCTTTGAGCTGCCCATATCTTTTCAACAAATTCCTTTGCTGCTAAAATAAGCCAGAGTTGTTTTCTGTTGCTTGCAACTAAGAAACCTGAATGAAACCAGTAAAATACATTAATGCTATCCAAGACTGAAAAAGCACAAATTAAAACTTTGTTCACACTCTGTAAAAGACATATCTAACCTATAGTGCCAAGTGCAGATTAGTGGCTGCCTAGGGCAGGAAATGGGGATTTAACTGGGAAAAGATAAAGGGAACATTTTAGGGTGATAGAAATGTTCTACTTAATTGTAGTACTGCTTATATAGATGCATAAATTTGTTGAAACTCATCAGAGTTTACATTTTAATTGGGTGTATTTATCCTGTTTAAGTTATACCTCAAGAAAGTGGAATTAAAACTTTTCATTCACACATTGAGGTCTGTAAAGCAAAACAATAAGTTGGCAAGGGTGGGAAGGTACAATAGATGAAAAGGCGTTGATCAACAGCTATACAGTTATAAATGAAGGATATAAACAAGCCAAGGCCATCTGCTATTTGGAATCTCGTATGTTTTCCATGTGGTATGAGAGTTAAGTCAAAGTAGGGCATTGTCCCTAGCTATATAAATGTCTTCCACAGCCGATAAAAGCATTACTGAGATGAAAACTTTCTTCTCTTTAGCAATTGTTCATTTATTTGTAAATGCATTCCATGATTAATATAATTAGTTCACAGAATGTTTGAGCCAAAAGACCCTAAGAACATGACTCCATCCAACTTCATTTATAGGTGAAGCAGCTGAAGCCTGGAAGGGGGAAGAGCCGTGACCTGCCCACAAAGCCACACCACTTTGAAAATTAGTGCTAATGTTATTTCAGTTCCTGTTTGAGGAAAAACATCCTGAAATACATAAAGCCATAATTTTATGGATAATCATTTCATGAGGATTTAGTTATCTAATCTACGACTAATTGAAAATAAACCCCAAATCCCTTCATATATTGGATAAAATGTAAACACATTTTCAGAGCTGGACATCATCAAGCTCACATATATCCACAGTCACTGACTTCAAGACATAATAAAAGGTACATAGTTAACAGAAGGTGAATTAGAATTTTTATTTTATTTATTTAATTACAAAAGTAAAAATAACTGCATTAGAGAAAATTTTGAAAATCTGGAGGGAAAAAAACAACTATAATGCCTCCATTTAAACAACCGTCATGGTAATTTGGTTGTATTGCCCACCAACCTTTTTTCTCTTGAATGTTTTATATGATTGCTAATGAAGCCTGCCTATAATTTTGTATCTACTTTTTCACCTACATCAAAGCATAAGGAATTTGCTTTCTTAAAAATTAGATTATCATTACTTATGTTATTTATATTGTGGCCATTTGAGCAGAGGTACGAGTATTCCTTGTACCCAATCAGTGCTAACTATCTGCTGTTTTCCTAACACTCTTTTCTTTATCCTCATATAATCACATACAAACATATTACAGAACATGAATATATGGGATGGGGCCGTCAGGGTAGGTTCATACTGTACCTCTGTGCACATTTGATTCTTGTCTCTCTCATTTAATAATACATTGTGGCAGTCTTTATTAGGTAATTGGTATAGATCTAACAGATTATTTTTAATGATTGCATAATATCAATGGTATGAATGATCTGTGCTAATCATTCTATACTGACGTACATTTCGTATCTTTCCATTATTTTGCCACTGCAAACAATGCCATAACAAGCAGCTTGGTACATAGAGCCTTACATATTGGTGATTTACCTATATGGGGTTTTAATAGGTATTATGAGGCTGCTTTTCAAAAAGACTATAATTATTTTCATTTCCTCCAGGAATAGAGCATGAATAACTTTTTCCTGCCAATAGTGGGTGTTAACACTTTGTAGTTTTTGCCAGTCAGATGGGTGACAAATTATATTTCATAGTTACTTTTACTGCTTGTTAGTGTTATTGAGCATCACTACATATACTTACTGGACATTTGCACTTGTTCTTCTGTGATTATTCTTCTGCTTTGCATATTTTTCTATTGGGTCATCTGCCTTTTCCTTATCTATTAGTAAGTGCTTTTATGTAATAGAGATTAAATCTTTATTTGTCCTATGAATGTTGAATATTTTCCTATCCTTTTTTTGTCTTTTGACATTGGAATGTCACTTTTGCTATTGGAATATTTTAAATTTATAAAGTCAAATAGATCTTTTTTCTTCATTGCTTCTATGTTTCTTGTGTTAATTCAAAAGCTCTCTGCAGCTCAAATTTGTTAATATATGTTTCCCTAAATTTTCTTTTAATTTTTAAGTGTTTAATTCATCTGGAATGTGTCTTTATATATAGTGTGGTGGAGTATTCAATTTCCTTATCAAGCCAAAATATAGTGTTTTAAAACTATTTGGTAGAACAAGCCAGCTATTAATCTTTTTTATAATTTGCTTTACTTGAAATTTATTTTTCCATATTAATAAATGAACACCACGATTCTTTTAGTCATTGACACAAAAACTATGATTCTCATGGAATTGCATTAGGTTTACATATTAATTTGGGAGCACTGACATTTTTCTTACATTGAATCTTGTCATCCAAGATTATATAATTCTTTTCATTTGTCTCGATCAGGTTTCATAGTTTCTTCTTAAAAATTGTATATTTTTCCTGTAAAATTTGCTCTTACATATTTTATATACTTTATTGCTATTGTGAATGGCACATTTACCACTTTCATTTCTAGCTGGGTTTTGTATTCTCTATTTTATTGTATATTTATTTTATATTCTGTGACCTTACTCAATTTCTTTATTAATTATGGAAGATTTTTTTAATTTTTTAAATTTTATTTTATTGATTTTGCTATTATAGTTTTCTCAATTTCCCCCCTCTGCTCCCATCATCCCAGCACCCTATACTCCATCAGGCAATCCCCATACCTTTGTTCATGTCCATGGGTCATGCATGTAAGTTCTTAGCTACTCCATTTCCTCTACTGTACTTTACACCCCCATGGCTACTCTGTAACTACCAACTTGTACCTCTTAACCCCCTCACCTCTTCACTCATTCCCCAACCCCTATCCCATTTGGCACTATCAAGTGCTCTCTATATCCATGATTCTGTCTCTGTTCTTGACTGCTTAGTTTATTTTTTAGATTCAATCATTGATAGATATGTATTTTTGCCATTTTATTGTTCATAGTTTTGATCTTATTCTTTTTCTTAAAAAGTCCCTTTAAGAGTTCATATAATAATGGCTTGGTAATGATGGACTCCTTTAGTTTTTTCTTGTCTGGGAAGCTCTTTATCTTCTATTGTAAATGATAGCTTTGCTGGGAAGAGCAATCTTGGCTGTAAGTTCCCACTTTTCATGACTTGAATTATTTTTCTAATCCCTTCTAGCAAAGTTTCTTTTGAGAAATCAGCTAACAGTCTTACGGGAACTCCATTGTAGGTAACTATCTGCTCTTCTCTTGCTGCTTTTAAGATTCTTTCCTTATCTTTAACCTTCGGTATTTTAATTATGATGTGTCTTAGAGTGGGCCTCTTTTCATTCATCTTGTTTGGGATTCTCTGTGCTTCCTGGACTTGCATCTCTATTTCCTTCATGAAATTAGGGAAGTTTTCTTTCATTGTTTTTTTTAATAGATTTCCAATTTCTCATTCTTTCTTTTCTCTTTCTGGCACCTCTATGATGCGAATGTTGGAATGTTTGAAGTTGTCCCAGAGACTGCTTATACTATACTCAATTTTTGAATTCTTTTTTATTCCTGTTTTTCTGATTGGTTGTTTTTTCTTCCTTATGTTCCAAATCATTGATTTGATTCTCAGCTTCATCCAGTCTACTGCTGTTTCTAGGTAAATTGTTCTTTATTTCAATTAGTATATCCTTTGTTTCTGACTAGATATTTTTTATGCTGTTGAGGTCCTCACTAAGTACCTTGAGCATCCATATAACGAGTGTTTTGAACTCTGCATTTCATATGTTGCTTATCTCCATTTTGTTTAGTTCTTTTTCTGGAGTTTTGATCTGTGCTTTCATTTGGGCC